ATTAAACAACATAGTTACATGATATGCCTCAATGTGCAAACAATGAAGACACAAAATCCGAGAGAAATGTTCCTCTCCATTAAAAAATATATGCACAGCCTAACTGTAGACTGCTCAACTGCATGGATACATTCTCCAGATTTTTTATCATTATTCTTTCACCCACATAAATGATCAAAACAAATGACAATCTCTGTGCAAAGTAGATACAGAGCCCACAAAAGGGAGTCTGACAGCCATTTCCACAACAGATGTTTTTACAGAGGGGTGTCTTCTCTCCGCTGAGCAGTCTCACACATGAGAGACCCCCAAAAGCTTCAGAGAAACGTCCAGAAAACCAACATGTAAATTTGCAACTGCCATGTCTCAGACTAGCAGGCCCACGCCAATTTTATTTACTTCAGGGGGGAAAAAATTGGAAAACGAGAAATAGTCATAAAAGCATGTCCAAATATACATATCAGTGGGGATGATTGAAAAAAGGCGGAGGGATAGAATTAGAACTTCAATATCAGAAAAAGACAACAGACAACATCATTATGTGTTATCATGAAAAGATAAGTCCCTATTGATCCAGGTTGTGGGAAAAGGCTGCAGTATTGACAGGAAGACAGAATATGTTGGAGGGGCAATGTTTCATACATTTGACCTGTTCACTCCATCACTGTGAGAGGGTGCTTTTCTGGGCTGTATATAATAACACGTGTGCTCTTTATTTCCCTCAGATCAATGGTAATGCGAGGGAGGCCACACAAGATGGATGCCACAGGCAAGTTAACCTATCGACAGCTGAACAGAGACACACAGACCAAGACAGGGGGACCATCCCATTTACTGAGATGGACCTAAGCTAGTGGTGTTTTGAATCACCCCACTTATTGCACCCATCTGTTGTACCTTATCATGCCTAACATAGCTGTTGCTTTCATATTTTTTCTCTGATTATTCATCCACAGTATAGTCTTTTTTTCTGTATTCAATATTTAATTGTGGGGCTGGGGAAGTTGAAGGGGAGGGGGAAAGTGGCAATGGGATGCCTGGTGACCACTTCCTGGAGACAGTACAGGAGGCAGAAGGGAAGGCAGTCTAGCCCACACAGGTGGCCCGGATCTGGATCAGGTCAGCCTCGCCCTCAGACAAACAGCCAGCTCATCTCATGCTCATGCTCCAAGTCCCTCAAAGTCACTAACCTAAAGCCCCTGCTAAAGAAAATAAAAGTGTACGGGTAAAATTTAATTAAAAACATATGGCAACTTTGATTTAACAAGTGTTGTCAATACTGTACTTCTTTAAAAAAAAAAAAAGAAAAGAAAAGAAAAAAAAGAGAGGTGAAATTATTAGTGACTCTTATATTTGATTAAAGATGAAGCATGATTGTTGAGGAGGCCTTATATTGTAAAAGTTTCAATTAATTAAACTGTACTTTGCTTGAATTCACTCTGTAAATGCACCTTTTGTAATGCTCTGGAACAGATGTGTTAAGTGTTAAAAGATTTTAACAAATTCTCTCTCCAAATAATGTGCTGATCCCATCTCTGCTGCGCAGGTGATTCAACTGTCAGATAGTTCTGGGCCTTTCTATTGTAGATGCAATGCTACACATTCACTAAGAAAATACAATAAAATCTAAATATGAAGTCACTCTGGCTGAACTGCAAATCGAAAGTTAATAGAATAATACTGTTCCGACAGAAAGCTCTGAGCATTATTGTCTAAAGTTGGGTAAAAGGTAATTAATTTGGCAGTAAATCATTCAGTGTTTTGGTGACTCTGATGAGAATTGTAATTTTTCAGACCCCCCCCCCCCCAACCCCCAGTCCCTATTGTCTGTGTGAAAATGGAAATCTGTGCCACCAGTACAATATCCACATTATGTGCCCTGCCTCAACATTGTTGCATGACATGCTTGATTGTACCCTGGAATATAGGAACAGAAATGACTAAACATACCATTAGCACATATTAAGCTTTGTCTTCCACTTATGTTTAATGTATGTGTTTATAAGTTTTGAAATTATTTCTTCCGTGTTTGAATAAAATACCTCATTTGCAGAATAGACTTGTTCTTAAAAGCAGAAGAATGGCAATCACTTCCACATTAATTTACCTTCACACATACTGTATGCTTTGCAAATCGATGCAGTCCATTTCATTAAATGCATTTTATAAAAATATGCAAATATATTTAATTATCTGTTTTACTTGCAAACATGCACAAAACATTCGCAAGGATATGACACCATTTTAACTCAGCCACTCTACTTGTTTGTGCCTCCCTCAATGGCAGTTTTAAATAATAACGTAGCTTGAGGCTAAAGGTGAAATATGTTCCTTGTTATTATTGAAGGTGTACACCATTTGTATACATTGATTTGACTTGCTGTGTGTGCGTTTATGTGTGATTACACAATGATTATACAACTGCGTATCAGTATGTTCCGTAAGATGTTTGTTCCTGGTGTTTGAGGAGGTGTGCAGCAATGGCAGGAAACCAAAACAAACAGCCTAAAAGAATATTTTAACCTTTATCATTAAATGGTTTTATGGTTTTATCTTCAAATTGAGTTTAGGAGAGATATTTGTTCTATGTTTGTCTGAGTTAAACAACATCAGAAATGTCCTCTTTTGCACAATGTTACTATGCACTAATTTAAACATAACAGGAATTACTTGGATTGGATAAGTGCATCACTGACTGAGGATGCTTCATTACAGTCTCCCTCTCTTACACACACAGAAGCAATGACTTAATGTACAAAGTGCTTAGCCACTGCAAGTCAAATCAGAAAAACCAAAATGACTGCAGCAATCTGACAGTAAAAATGAAAGATAACAATTTTCCAACACAACATGGCAGCTGACCAAATTTAAGCACAAGAATGTTGCCTCTATACTGCTGAACTCTACTCACAGCTTCTGTGTTTTAAGGTTTCGGTGATTTACACAGTGAATAGCATTCTTGTTGTCATTAAAAATGACAATAAGAGTATTTTATCCCAAGATGTTATAAACTATTGTGGATCTGATATTAGCAATAAATCATGATTTGTTTCTGCTGGAAGAAACGTCAAGAGCAAACCGTCTATCACAGCCATGGATGAGTTCCTGTTGTCACTAATAACTCAATGTTGCCACCTAGTGTTGGGACATCTTTAGCTCTAAAAAGAAGAAAAAGGGAAGCCAGTTTCAGCTTTATTAGGTCTGTCAACATGAGTTAATATTTACAGCTGGATCCTGAATTGGAGAAGATGAAAAACATAATTATATAGAGGATCCAGGGTGGCTTTTAGATCAATCGTTTTTGTTTTGAGGCTAAATGTGACACTGCAGTTATGAATTTGCATTAGATGTGTAAGCAAATGTTGCCTGTTAATTTGCAGAATTAGATTATTTTTGCAAAATATAAATCAACAAAAACATTTTCATTTATTATTATTTGTTAAGCTACCAAGCAGTATATGAAGTAATTAAAATTAGCCCCATTTTTACTAGCTGTCACATTAAAATTATTTACATATTAATACACCAATAATTATAATCCAGGAATATAATGCATATGATTCTGGAATAGGCCATTCTGCATAATGAGTACATTTTGATGCTAATTTGTATTTTAAAAGTAAAACATCTGAATACTTCGTCCACAGGTGGTTATAAGACTTGCAGGCTGTTCTCGGTGTCAGCTGTTGACACACATGGAGAAAACCGAGATGCTCTCCTTTGCTGTAGATTTTACACGCTCTGCCCCGATACCTCAGCCCCACCTGTCTAGCCATGAGCTCAGAGTTGAAACAGAGTTCAGCCAAGTTAAGAATTGTTCTTGCTTGTTTTATCAGTAGCGTGTACCATATTTCCAGATGAAATACTACTGCCGGCAAGAGATACTGCCAAGGGAGCAGGGAAACAATTGAATGGGCATTAATGATTTACAGGTACATATCTGCTATAATACCAACACAGGCGGAGGTAACTGAGAGCAGGATCTGATGACATCATTGATGATGCCTCAGATAACACCTTGATCATCAACTATGTATGATCTGGCAAAAGATATAAGATAATGTCCAAGTGAGAGTAGACTATTTACTGGCCTAATGTAGCCTAGACCAGTGTACAGACACTGAGTCAGGAATCAAAGATGGGTGACAGAAAGCTTTACAATTATTGAGGACAAATTCATAACTAAACGTGTTAGCTGTGAATTAAATTGTAAATGCCTAGGTTTTCATGAATGTCTGGCAGGTATGATGTGTTCATAGCTTTACAACAATGTTGTTGTGACATATGAAATATTGTTGTATAGAAGCTGCATTTTTAATAATTTCAGTTAGTTTCTTTAGGGATTATCATAAAAAGAATGGAATTTGGGGATGACAAAATGGTCTTGAAGGCACTGTGGATGTCCATGGTGTCGATAGCTCTCAGATTTATTTGTCCACATAGTGCAAGGCAGCAACAAGCAGTTATATTTTCATTTCATTATTAACTAGCCGTTTGTTATATTTTATTACTCTATCCATCAGACGTCTTGTTTTGTCCCATCAACAGTCCAAAAGTTATTCAGTTTGGAATCATAAAACGTAGAAAAACAGAAAATCATCACATTGTCGGAGCAGGAAACATTTTAGTTTGGAAAATAACTAAGATGATTAATCAATTGTCAGGAGTTTGAGTTGTGAAGGAGTCCCGTAGTAAGTATGCGGTATGTGCAGGACAATAAATTGAATGAATAGTCCAGTAATTCGACAGAAAAAAACACGTGTTCTGTCGAAAGATAAGTTGATAAATCAATTATTTAATCAATTAATTAAATGCAGTGCTTTAGTGTCTAATCTCAGTATTGAAGTGGTGTAACGTTATATTGGAGTTTTCTTTCAGACAATTTAAAACTTCCAATCAATAAAAGAAGATTTTAAATAAAAAGCATTTCAAATCCATGAAATCATAAGATAATTTATGCATTTAACCAGGATGTTTACAACCAGAGGAAATGACGTGCCAATGTTTTGAATCGTGCAGGCTAACAAGCAGCACGGCTAGAAAGCCTGTAAGCACTGCACTGAGCAGCCTTCCCCGAAATACACTTGGGGAAGACTTTAAGCTTCATGTACCTATAAGTTCTGTCAGGGTAAGTTTTACTGTATTAAAAGGCTTTCCGATATATATAACGGTGGTTGGTTTGGCATTAATCGTTAGCTAGCAATTGTTGTTAGCTAACAAAAAAACACAAAACATTTAAGCTAGCGCCAGTTCGCTAACACCATAACCTCTCACCGTTATTTATCTTCGAGTATGCGTACCATAAGATGGTTAACCTTGTTGATGGATAAACACTGATGAAGTTGAGGAAATGTGACAGGGCGTGGAATAATTGACCGAAGTGGATAATCGCACACGGGTGTCCTGCAACGGGTTAGCTAACGGAAGCGTAAGGCTAGCCGTGGCGTTCGACTATTAACCATGAATGTCCGAGTATGTTAATAGCTGCAATGCTAACGTTGGGCACCAAAATTAACGTTAGCAAGTTTATTGTACTGCTGTAGTTCACGCCACACGAGTGTGATGCAAATGCACTGTTTGATGGCATTAGCTAAGTTACATAGATATAGGTCAACATAAGCGAACTGACTTTGTATAGATGTTAAGGAATATCGGCTTCCTCAACGATTTTAATGTTAGTTGTCGATGCATTCTGGCTAACTAGACTGTCAATCCTTGCAGAAATGAATCGTGAAGTCTATCAACTGATAAATGCTTGTAGGTCGTGCATCAATGTCAGTACTCTCCCCCACAAGCGTGTTATCATGACAGCGATGCGGCAGCTGCAAGCTTTCGTAAGAGATGCTTTTGTAAGTTAAAATGTCCATGTAAGTCTGAGCTTATGGTGTACCATAAATGTACATGGGTACACACAGTTATGTATGGTTATTTAAGGTGTGCAGTCACTGCTGCTCATAAGAACAGCCCGGCCATCTGCTATCACCCAACTCCAGCACTTTGACTCTGTATTTCCTCTGCTGGACAGTAGGAGCACGCAATGGACCTCCACAAAATCATCCATAGTGCGCTGCACGAATTTATTCAGGCTTACATTCCTAATGCAGATCTCAGGTAAACAATTCCTCAACATTTTTTTTTTGCATTCTTATAAAAAAGGTCTAGTTCAATCAGTTTTACAGTAACTTGTTTTATGCCATTTAATGCAGCACCCTGGATGATGTTCTTCTCTCTTACATCACGGGAGTCCTGGAGGATCTTGGCTCCCAGCAGAGTGTTGAGGAGAACTTTGACGTGGAGGTCTTTGCAGAGATGCTTGAAGCTTACATACCTGGCTTTGCTGCAATTGACAGGTAAACAGTAACCTTTTTCTCTATTGTCTGTGATAAAGTCATTTGTCTTTTGTTGATATTACAAATGTGTTTTTTTAATTTATTTTGCAGTGTCAAGGTCTGTGAAATGATGTTCAGCTTGGCTTCAAAACTAGCCACTGCTCGTACCTCAGGTAGTGTTTTTATTATTATCTCTAATACATACAGTATACAGCAATCTCACCCTTTAACCAACTGGTTTCTTAATTTTCATAATGTTGCAGGAGTCATTTAAACAAACTAAATGTTTTGCACAGTAGGGTTGGGTATCACTAAAAAAATTTTCCAATTCTGCTTATCGAATTCGGTTCTCATTGAATCTCGGTTCTGCAAGCGTGACATGTTGCTACTGTTTTGCATTAGCCTTATCCGGGGCATCATTGTAGCTGGGAGAACACATTGAACACAGTGCATTCCTTCAGATTCACGCCATGCTGAAGTAAATGCTTCGTCATATTGGAGCTGCATCCTCCCTTGCACAAAATATCTGCAGGTGTAGGGTTTTGTTGTGTTCTTTTTTTAGTGAAGCTAAGCCAAACTTTTACTGTGGTTCAGAAATGTAAACAGAAGTACTCTCTTCTCGCATGCTTTGTTGACGTATTGCGTAACAAATGACGTGACATTAGGCCTGCGTACCAGGTCCTGGCAGATAAGTGAAACTTGGACTGTAAAATACTCACTGACTTATAATTGGGAGCACGGCTGAAAAAAGTTAAGCAGAATCTAAATGCACTTGTCTTAACGATTCCACGTTTCTTGGAAATTTGGAATAGGTTCTCGATAGATAGATAGCGATCATTAGCCTAACATTTATACTACAGTATATTAATGTTAATTAATTTGTGTTGTTTCCTGCTTTAGCCGTTGAAGAAAACTGTGTGCCTAAGGCAAGGACAGAAGAGATTTCATTGAAACTCACCACCCTGCACAGTGAACCTCCACCAGGAAGAGAAACGCAGTGCCTTAAAACACAGACAGAGGGCGCCACTGCCAAGGTTATAAATTTCAGCACACATCATCACATTATTTTCTTTTTCTTGATGTGTCTGAATTTTTGAATTACTATAATTTCACATGCTCATTGTGTGTCCTCCTGCTGGTAATATTGTTAACATCCTAAATTAGAGGTAACATAAATGTGTGTATCTCCAGCTACCAGTGTCTGAGTGGGAGGCCCAGGAGCAGCACCTGCTGGAGATGTTTCCCAAGTGTAGTCTGTCGGAGGCTCGCAGCGCCCTGTCTATTGCCAAAGGAGACATGGAGGAAGCTGTGCGCCTTATCATAGAAGGCGACGTCCAACTCAGCCCTACTCCTCTTAATGTGAGTCTCTGCTACACTCAGAAACATTGCCACTGTGTTTCATGTCAGCTGCTGCCCACCTTGTGTATATTAGCAGTCTGATTTGATGGTATCCTGTTGCCTCAGGTAAACCATGGGAAGAGTATTTCCTCCCTGGCGGACCAGAAACTTAAAGAGAGCATTCTTGAGAAGTGAGTAAGATTGCTGTTATCCTGTGGAAAGCAGAATTGGCCTCACTTCTTTATTTCAGTGTGTTTGTGACTATGTTTCACCTCCACAGGTACATGCTTGTGGACAGTGAGGATGATAACAAAACACACCGTCCTGTCGCCCCAAAAGATGTAAGTCTCAGGTTATACTTCACATTCACACTATAGCTTCTTCAAATGTGTTAATGCAATAAAACTTTAAATAATATAAAATTAAAATTTATTTATTTATACAGGCTCCAAAGAAGCTAGTTCGCTACCACAGTAACCAGGTGGTAACCACAAAAGGGGAACGATATCAACTTGTGAAGAAAGACGAGGCAGAGGACATGAAGAAGACATATGTCAACCTCAAACCCGCGCGAAAGTACAGATTCCATTGATGACGAGCACAATACTGTAAGAGCAGCTACTGACAATATTGTTTACACTATTTTTTTTTTGTATTATTTAGCCTGCATTTGTTAGATTTTTCCCAAGTAAATGAAGATATTTGTTCATGTTACAGTGGCTTATTTTTAAAAAACTGTTACCGTTATATGCCTTGGTTGAAATTACAGTGTTTTAGTTGCATCCCTTCCTTGAGGAGCTTTTGAAATTTTGTGATATTTTGGTGCGGATGTTGTAACTTGTGTTCAACCTATCTAACCTTTCTACTTTTTTGTCATCTCAGCCGGTCTGATGTTGCACTGACAATACTGTCATATTTTCATTTACCTATTTTGTTTGTTTGTCATTTTTTTTTACTTCAGTACAGTATTGACCCAAAATTATGACATGAGTTTGTAGAGATGAATCAGTTGTCATTTCTGTAAATATGTTCTAGTGGTGCTGTAGAGTTTCTTCTGGACATTGACGTGGATGAGTCTCAACTGCTTTTCTATGTACATACTAAATCACTGATGCCAATTTCATTTAAAGTTCTATTTTTACATCATACAAGAATGAAACAGTTCTGTGTTGTCAAATGTTTGGTCAAGCCTTGTGTTTGGACATTTGTTGTGCTTCAAAATGGTCTTAAATGAAACTGACGTATAGATTGCCCTCATAACAGTAAATATTCTGCTAGAAGTCCACAAGAGGAAGGCCATAGTCCCGATTGGTTTTTATCACCTTCTATCACTGCCCTTACAGCAAATAAAGGGTTTGTGATAATATGCAATGTTTTACATAATATATTGTTTTTATTGTGTACAATTTCTATAATGGAAAAACCTAATTTAAAAAATGTAAACATGACGACCTTGGCTTAAAGCTATCAAAGTGAGAATTGCTAACCCGTCGCTATGACCCGAGAGACCCTGAGCAGCACAAGAGGAAGTGTTAAATATTTGTCAGTGACACGATTAAGCCCTGATAAAACAAGTGTTGCAAATATTTTGCTGTAATGGAAAGCACTGTATAACTCTAGAAATTCATTGGTAATTTTCTAGCACAACAAATTTAATTCTCAAGGGGTGCACAAACTATTACAGCACTATAATATTTTGGCATAATGAGGTGGAGGACTGCGGTTGCCCCCTAAATTTTAGCGAAACATGTCGCTGGAGGACTTGATTTTAAAGTTCATCTCAACAACATTGTCTTTATTTTTGATATAGATGTTTAGAGTTGACAAAGTCTCAGATCATGTGTTTATTGCGAAGAGGCCTGTTGCATTCAGGGTCTGTTTACATGATGTCACCAAAGTGGTCCTCTATCACGACTCCTTTTATCTCATCTTGTGGTGTTGTGAGTTTTGCTTCGTTTGTGATCGTTGATTGTGGAATTTTTGACTGAGTGGATTCTTATTTGACTCTTGTTAGTTGTATATTAGGATAAATTGGTTGGTCAGGTTTTTTTTACTAGTATATACTGTTGTTTATTATACTATTGATTATTTGTGTTTCCCGCTGCATCCATTTGGAGCAGATATAAGCAATTGTTTTTGATTGGTGGTATAATATAGTTTGCCCTGAGTGTAGGTGTAACACAAGTGTTGAAAAGATGTGTTGTTACTGATACTTGTCTTTATCAGCAGCAATGTCGTCTTTAAAGGGAAAATGTGGCACTTTTTATGTGGATGTCCAGTCGGTGTTGATAGTAAATGTAGTCAGTTGAAGCAGTAAATCCCTCTGTGTGAGTGCTATATTGACCTAGAAAGCAGAGTTCTCCTGCTCACGGAGCATGTGCCTACATGTATTTATTGCGCACGAGCTTCTACTTGGCAAACTCTGCTTTCTCGGTCAATATAGCACTCACTGAGGGATTTTTTGCTTTAGTCGACTACATTTACTATCAACACCGACTGGACATCCACATAAAAGGTGCCTTATTTTCCCTTCTACTAAAGAGCATGGACTGGATTTAGTGATGCTGTTCTGTCACAACTGAGTTTTAACTTGCGCTTTGAGAAACCGCTGACGCACAATTAATAGTAAATAAATAAAACTTTTTATAGATTATTCACATTGTATTCTTTGATTTATTCACTTATGTTACTTAAGATACTAATTCAAAACCATCAAATATTATTTCATAGCTTTGTGTGTGAGAAATTGCCTTTCAGTAGTCATTCAGAACTGCAGAACTTTGCAAACAAACTTTAATCGGAGGAACAAAGACAGCACGCACTGTGTTGAAAACAAACCAGGCATCCATTAATACAAACATACCGCTATCTCTATGAACCCTTAATAGGGAAAATAGGGAAAACCCTTAATTAGCCGTTTAATGAGTGAAAACAAACATTTTGACCATTTAAAAAAAAAAAGTTAATCATGTCCTTGAAACATTCAGTGGCACACCATTGTTAAGCAAGGCACATGTAGTAAACAGGGTTAACTTAGAAAAGCCATACATATCAAATCTTACATAAGGTCAATTCTTTTTTTCTTTTTTTCTTTTTTTACAGAGGAATTAGCCCTATTAATTGGGAGTTTTATAGTTCATCACTTGCTGATTCATTGAGTGTCGCAATGGCAGACAAAGCTTTCTGAATGTTTGTATGTTGGTTTGGCACATACAGCACAACATATGAATTGATCCTCCCTTTTTGTTTAATGTACATTTTTACAACAGCACTTCCAAGATCTTCAAAATATGGCTGCATGTAAGTAAAAATAAGTGCATTTCTGAGGATTGTTAACCTACAGTAACCACCAGAGCAAGTTTTCAACTTGAATTAGACTTTTGTACACATTGGAGCATTATATTATCTGAGATCTGCTGCATTTAATACAACATATTGAATATTTGTATTTTGCAGCAGTATAGTGCATGGACCGGGTAACAATACTTAAAGCTTAATATGCAACTGAAAACCTGACCTCTAGATGGTACATTATGTTGCACTGCAATGGCTGATACATGAGCAACATCCCAGCAGTCAGCTAGTTCAGACCGTTAAAAACATGTTAACATGAACATATCATTTCAGCACTTTGCTTTAACCACTTTTACACTCATGACCCTCATATTCCCAAGACCAGATCGCCTGTACGCACTTTGAGAAGTTTCCCCAAAAACAGTAACTTGAAGCATTTCCTTTTCATTCTTAAAGTTAACTGTATTTTCTAAACTAAAATTGCAGTATGTATTTATGTACATTTTTAGTGCTCCCTCACCTATTACTATAGCGCATCCAGTAAAGTCCTTGAAATATAAATCAAACAAGCAAGAGCATAAATTAAAACACAAAGTAATCACTCAGCTAAAATAGCAGTCACATATTCCTTCAACTGAATATATGAGCCACTTTTTCCACACCCACACATATTTCATCAGTTTTTAATCACGTCTGTGTTTTATTACCGTGCCTATGCGGTCTTCTTTGCAACAGGAAATTCTTGCAGATCACTCCCAAAGACCGTGTAGGTAGAGATAATGCAGATTACGGGGATAAATATTTCAAAAACGCATCATCACACTCACTCTTATCTTTCGATGTATGAACCAAATCAGCTGTCTTAGTGATAAAGATGGAGAATATAGTATGGTCATTCCACATTTAGTAACCTACAATGATGTTATTACATGTCCTGTATTTAACTGATGTACTGTATATAAAATACCCCTTGACTCATCCATTAGTGGTCAAAATATGTAGGCTGTTCCAAAGGTACCGATCTCACAACTTCTACTGACTGGGTGAGCAAATGCACCCAAATAACCTTTAGCTTGAATTATGAGAATGTTGAAGACACTGGTTCACATAAATCCATCCATAAGTCTATAAGTTAGGCCTCCTCTTCACAGACTTCATCAAGTAGGGCGCATTCCCATAAGCCAGTCAGATGTGTCTTCTGTAATTGTTGTATTTGCAATGACCATGGCACTCAGAGATGACAGCAGAATGGTTTGAAGATGGCTGCTTATTGCCATGCCGCGATACGTAGATCCAAAGTAAGAATGCGCATTACACACGCAGCAGTCTCACTTTCACACACATACAGTTTTCCGAAGCAGTTTAGTCTACAGTTTGAAGGGTGTGGCTCTAATTGTGATCCTGGTCGTATCGTCCCGTGATCATCGTTTTCAGTAAAGGTCCAACCTACAGAAATGATAAAGATAAGCTTCTTCATAGGTTCAGATATAGTGCATTGTTTTACTCACTGTCCCAGACTGCATATATCTTTCCTTTGTACTAAATCCAGTAAGCCATAAATATTCGCAGTAATTGGGTTGCTGGGAAGGGTCAGCATGCCCCAGGGATTTCATGCAACAGGTGACCTAAATGTGGGTCTGATTTGATGTTCTAGAAACTGGCGGTGTGACATTCATTTGTGACTTACGCAATCAGCACACTGATGACAGGAAAGAGTTTGTATTGCAAAGAGGACATAACATCAAGTGCTTTTACCTCATGTGGGTCTCCAAGTGCTTCTCCCAGCATCTTCTCAATATTTCTCATGATGGCCACCTTCTGATGAGCTCGCAGGGGGTATTCTATCCTCTTAGGTGTGGGGGCACCCTGAAGCAATAAGTCAAAAAATGGGTCATGAAATGAGTAGTCATGAAGAAACATGGAGTGGCAAAGACAGCACAAATGTGTGCGTAAGTAACAGTTGTAATGTATCAAATTATGCGTACTTTATACCAGAAGTTTACAGTGATCGTCACTCCGCCATTCAACAGTGATTCAATGTGATGCCACCTGGAGAAAGAAGAAAAATGTTAACTAAACTCATCAAACTCTTGCTGTCAGACAGCAACTTTCTGCAGCTCTTCCTTTAATTTAATGTCAGCATCATACGCGCAAGCAAGAAATTGATCAAGAAACTACAGGCTGAGGGAGGAAAATGCAGTATAGTAACTAGATAACACTAGAGCTGCAACAATTTACTGATTAGTTGTGAACTATTCTGATTAATTGTTTTAAGTAATCTTTTAAGAATATATGTCCAAATTCCCTGATTTCAGCTTCTCAAATGTGAATATTTTCTGTCTTCTTTTGTCCTCTATGCTAGTAAACTGAATATTGTTGGGTTGTGGCCAAAACACGACATTTGATGACGTCACCTTGGGAAACACTGATCAACATCAACGTTTTCTGACATTTTATGGACCAAAAAACTAATCTATTAATCGTGAAAATGATCGACAGACTAATCGATAATGAAAATAATCATTAGTTGCAGCCCTAGGTGAACCCCAGTTGTTTTGCAGTTTTTCTTAGTGGTGGTACATATTCATGGTGAAAACTCCCAAAAATAAATGCCAACCCAAGGAAATCACTGGGTGCAGTGACAGCTTCCAGGCCACCTTTGAGCTTTATGTACATGTAGGTTAATGCTTGAAAACTGCAATATGTACTTAGTTAGCAACAAACCATGTTGGTTAGAAGCCATTACTGTAGTGTTAACAGAACAGAGTTGTACATTTTCATCACCAAACCAACATAAATGTAGTTTATTCTTGAACTATAGCTTGTGCAAGCTTAATATGAAGCCCTCCCAGTAAATCAGTAGCTAAGCTGCTTTTTCTTACCTGTTAAGAGTAGTTTAAAAATATAACACCCGTGCCCTGTACTCATGCTCCAACACATAAACTTCATTACTAACAATTACGACTGCAATATACATTAGTTAATTTTGACAGCACAAATTTCTACCAATTCTGGGCCAACCAATAAGACACAGTTAATACTCAATAATAATAATAAAAAAACATTGATAAACAGCACAATGAGCTGTTAATCAAAGAATATCATACTGAAATACAGAGAGCATGAAAACACAACTGACAGTACATCCAAGAAACTCAATGCTAGGGCTTAAATATAAAACTTTTATTGAAACCACTTTATGGTCTCTTGTGCAATTTTCATATGGCTGGAGGCGTTAAAAGGTGAAAAGCATGTAAAAAATACCATTTAAAATTAAATACTGTCATTTTGCAAAGATGTCCTGGCCTACACATCATATTCTACTGACAGAAAACATCTTTGTTTGGTACCAATACCCTTAAAAATCACACTATAATCATTTTAATATGTTTTTCAATAAAAATGAGAATAATGATAAATATTGTTCATCCCTTCTCAATACACTAGAGATAATCAGCGGATTTGGTGGTAGAGCTGTTTTTTTTACCCAAGTAATGTTGGTATACATAATTTCTATAAGAAGTGTAATTTCTTACCAATACATGGGGATGTAGAGTACGTCTCCTGGGCCCACAACAGCCTCACAGCCAACAACATTTTGAAAATTGGGAAACTTCTCATAATCGGGATTATCAAAATCAACCTATAAATGAAAAGTATAGATGTGTTACAAAACATGAAGAATACCTCATACATCTGCAAAATACTTTTAATTCCTTCCTACTTTTCTGATAAATGTTTGAAAATAAGTACAAATGTACAAAATGTATGTCCTTATTTCAAGTAATCTTAACACAACATCTTAAAAATAACTTTTTTTAATGTGTAGAGACCATTGTATAATGTCTTTGAGGGGATTCCCTCTGACATCTTCACTGTGAATTATCTCTACCACTATTGATGAAGGTAACTGAACTAAATTACAAATGTGCAATTACATGAATAAAGTTTTATGGCTTACTTGGCTCTGTCTGTCACAGGGGTGATGCACAGGGTATGGATAGAGACACTCAAACTGGTCTGGGGGGAAGAGGATGCATCTCTTGTGGCCTTTGATCTGTGCAAAGAAGTTCTGCTGCTCATCGTAATGCGCTGGTGTCACATTACCTATGGTGAGAGAGTATTAATAGAAAATGTGATGTGAAACATTGAGGAGAATGAAAAGTGAGGAGCCGTGTGATCGTACATTATACAGCGGAAACCATGAAACAGCATTCCTTATGCCAGAACCCTTACCCTCCATGCCTATGAGCAGCAGGTTGGATGTCAGCTGTCCCCAGTTTCTCTTGGCTTGCTGCTTGTTGATCCAGTTCCAGTTGAAACCAAGGAAGTCAACAACAATCTTTTTCCCTACTGTGTCATTCAGGGTCTGCTGCAAATATACCCTTGAAATGCATGAGAAGAGAGATGTGAAAATGTTATGCGCCAGTTTGTTCTACGTGAAACAAGTTGCAATTCTGGTAATTTTCCAAAGTCCTATTAATTTGTCTGCAGGATATAAGCAATGTGCTTTGAAGACTACATCTCCTTCAAACCACAAACAATATGACATTGAAGGAAGCAGACCATGTAAATCTAAATAGATATCACCCACTGTGAGCGTCAGCGTGTCAAACAGCGAGTTCACTTTAGTAAGTGATCTGTGTTTGTGCACCAGGGCCAAGTCCGGTCACAGCAATGACCGGACTTGGTCATTGCTTCTCCCCTGATTCTCCTGTGTAAATGCTTAGTTATTCGCTCTACTTTCCTGTACCGCATTACATTTCATGAGAAAAATAAAAACACCTTTCACTGTCAAGAACACCCGCAGCACAACCACATTGTGGTCTGGCACACTTGGGTTACTAGCCTGTTTGAGCTTCCAATGATTGTGTTTAGATTGAGCAACAGCCCAGGCAGGGTTAATATAAACATAACTCACATCATATTCCTGTTCCAACTAAAATAAATATATCTTACCTCTCCTCTCCTCCCATCTCCTCTGTTAAATGCATTTTTTCCACAAATTCGGAGAATTTCATTTCCACTCGTTGTGACTTGGGGACAAAGTTCTCATAATTAGACATTTTTTTCTCATCATAGTAGAGGAATTTGTGTTTTTCGGCGATGTAAACAGAGAAGTCTCCATTTCCAATGTTCTCCTGGAGGTAGTCAATGTCCCATTTGAGGGCTGGATAAACAAGGTTTGTGTCTGTCAAAACCACCGGTTCCTGAAAACAGATAAAAGGACATTTCATTACAGTAATATTACAGAAATGTGTATTTTTTATAGTTTATGTCAAGTGAATTAGACTTGTAAAAACAAGCAATTCTCTCTAAAGAATTAATCACTGCAAGACTGGTTTCCTATAATATTTTAGTGTTTTTTTTATAACTATGTATTATCTCATGATTATAGCCTATTGTAAGATTTAAGTGTTGTTTTTTTCAATCTACAATTAAGTTTTACTTTAACATTTATTACTATTAATGTGGTTCATAAAAATTGGTGAAAAGAAAGTCCTTTAAAATGTCATTGTATTATTTTAAAGTAAAAAGACGTGTTACACAAACATTGCTGCATGTGTGTCATCTTGACTGTTTCACAATGCTTTTCCCTCACCAAATCCCGGAACTATTTATATTTTTGTCTAGAATAACCTTTTAATCAAAAAGGAACATAAACCCCCGGCACACACCCGCGCAGCACATCGATAGTGCAGTGTTTGGACACACTGAGCTCCGAGGGCTACGTGACTAACTGAACGTAGACCGGTGGGCGCGCTCCCGCCGCCTGTCTCTCACTGCACCGGGCTCTCGGTTTCACTTTCGCCGGAGAACGCGGGCACTGTTCGGTCTCGATAAGTTACAACGGCGCAGGAAACACCCCGCCGCCGTCGTCGACTAACTTTAGCGTGGCCATCGTTTAATTTGCGGCGTCTGGGTCAAAGAGACACGTCAGATATCAGTCTTTGTGGCTTTCACGTATTGTGTTGACTGTAAAAATCGGTTTTGTGTTCTGCCTTGATACGACGCGTGCATGCATACGGGGACATGCCCCGTGTGTCCTCGGGGTTCAGAGCTCCACACTGTTATCGTTTTCTAATGCTGCTACAGTATGAACAAGCCATTAGGGACTCGAAATTAAGACCGATAATTCCAGTTCTAAACTAAAATGAAAACATGAAGAGGTCACTGAATGTGAGCCACAATATCACTTTTATTTAGTGCGACGTATTTATTCATTCATGTATCAGAGTTCATGTTTGAAACTGACAAATTAGATTGCCTACAGCTACTGCTGAAAGTGACCATAACCTCTCCAGTTTCCTCAGGCCAAACAAATAACACTCAATTCCAGCTAAATTATAAATATGCAATAGTGCAAACCATAGTGTATAAATGGATCCATGGCCCACACATGCATGGGTTTTAGTCTTTCATTTTCCTGTTCTACAATAATATTAATCATACACTACAACAAACCATTATTTATTTACCCTCTGACTTCTTTTGTTGCCTATCACAACTTTTTTGTATTCATATTCTATATTAAGTGTAAATCATATGAATCTGTGTTTGCAAAAATAATAGACTAGCAAAAACCATTCTTAGTGTTTTAAATTATGTAAGAGCAAATCCAGTCAAATCATCAGGGTGTCACTACATAAAACACATTTATACTTTTGTTTTAGAAATCACATTCAAAGAATTTTCTTTCCTTAACATGTTTCACAATGAATTCACATTTGAATGTCACAAAGTTGCAATATGGCGTGTGGGTTAGTTTGACAAGACTGCTGTGTTGCTGTTCTTGTAAACCATTTCTCAAGAGCTGGCTATTGTGGGTTGGTGCGCAGTAGATTCAACAATATCTGAGTGGAGAACAGGAACCCGGTCAATTTTGAGAAACATTGAGGATGACGCATTTCTATTCATGTCTAATGACAAGATAGAAGAGAAAGGTTTTCTAACAAGGAATCTAATTTGTTAACACTCCTTTTTGGTCTGCATCTGGGTGAGACGCACTTAAATGAACTCCTGAATGTTTCCATTTTTCATCACACATTAATTACTAAGGTGAATAGGTTCCCTAATCATAACACAAACTAAGACTGTGGCTCTTTAATGGAGATAATAACATGGTCTGTACAGCACTAGCAGGCAAATGCAATCATAAGAAAACAAGCTGCTTTTTCTCCTAACCAGAACAGCATACCTGCAAAGCAATCAATTGATATATTGTTTTGTCATCAGTCAACCATCACCAATCAGATGTCAAAGGCAGCACTACCTGACCTCACTAATTGGAATACCCTTGAACTTGAAACCGAGTGCAGGCTTGCAGTTTTATTATGCTGCCATTACCAAACGTACAAAAAGCCCACTGATAGTAACCAAAGTCACACTTTTACAAACTAGTCACAGGTGGGCTGCTTATTTTAATGTATAGATTATCAAAGACTGAACAAATGCCTTTCTCTTGTTAATAAGCCTACTTTGTAGTTCACTGTCACTAATGGAGATTTGCCAAATCCTTCCAGCTGGGAAGCTGGAACTGAGACATTCATGCTTGAAAAATGACTTAGCCTAAATTATTAATATAGATATAATATTACAATAGCTATAGATAAGTATAAACATAGCTACAGAGAAAAAGTTCCAGCCCTACAGATTAATCTATTTTAACATTAGGTTAGGGTGATATCACCATTACAAATTGAGCTACTTGACTTCTAAAATTAGGATCCATCTCTGAGTAAATGTCCCTGGGATGATTTAACACCAAGTCTGAGAACAGGCTAAAAGAAAATGATACAGTTTACTGTCACTTTCAACACCTCGCTGTACATACATAAGATAATGTACACTAATGACTGTTGTTTTTTACCTAATATAGTTTCGTTTTGACTCATACTGTTTGTGGTGCAGGTCTATCTGTGCGGTTCTTGCCATGAAAAGCTCTGAGATCCCTTCACTGACAGGGCAAGCAATGCGTGTTCAAAGTTTCCGCGAGCCAACTTAGCCGGTTTACCTCATTGTTTATTAGTATCTCTGCCCTGGGGTCCGTATGAGACAGTCTAGGAATTGGCTTGGTGGGGAAAGAATATTTTCGGAGCTGGGACTCATCCCAGTCCCGGTTCTGGACGCCACTGAAAGCGGCGCCGCCTTCACTCGCCGCCGGCTCAGCCTCCGCTGCCATGGTCGTCAACAAGCGCTGATTAGCTGCCTCCGTCCACCTTACAATAAAACAACCACAGACTGGCTTTATCTTCCGGACTCTAACCTGCTAGGACCCGGACTCAGCAGCGGTGAAATCACAAAATCTTTCCCATTCACAGTTATTAAATTAATGAAGGGAATCCGCGCCGTCCTGGCGATAGCTCTCCTTCGGTTCCGTGTGGTGTTTATGGTTTACACACCGTGTTGACAACACGAAAACAAACGACACAAACTAAATTGTCAGGGAAACACTTCCATAATTGTAGCGCCAGAATATCGGACAGCGACGCATAGTGTACTGGGTGAGTAAATGCTTATGCTGTAATACTTTCTCTATACCACTAGAGGACGCTATTGCACTTACTTTGTATGCAGTTTTTCAGAAAATGATTGTCAAGCAAATAGGCTACAATTCCAGCTCTGAGGGATATTGGGCTATATTGCGCTCAGTGAGCATGATAAACGCATGCAAGGTTTGAAATTATATGAGGAGATTGTATCAAGTACTGTATTTGAGTAAAGGTTTGAGGTACTTGCAGTTTACTTAAATATTTCCATCTTATGCTACTTATTATATCTACTCTATTACATTTTTAGAAGGAAATATTTTCCTACTTTATTCTGAGTGACAATGCACATTGTACACTCATTTGAAGAGACAGAGTCAGAGAAACATATCTTAAGCCTTTTTTGCTACATTTATTTAGGCCTGTAGTAGAATAGTAGTTTATATAAATTTGTATTGGTAAATTTTCTATATATCTATTGCATTTTCATAGTTTAAACTACTCAAAAGTATATTAAGCATTTAAAATAAGCTCCACCTTTACCAACTACATTTAAAAAAAATTAAACTTTTTAAATTTAATTTTATTATTAAAGTCCAACAATGCAATAGTAAGACTTGGAGGGATCATTCTGTATAACCAGGCCTACAGTAGTATAATTTCTACTTTTGACACAAGGCCTGTACAAATTACTGATAATACAGCTACTACTTAAATAAAATATTGAATACTTTCGCCTAAAAACAAAGCAATATGAACAGCGCTCACCCGACAAAACGTTTGTATGGGTGGATTATTTTTTGGACATATATTTACTTTTTTTGTTAGGCTGAGACCTCTAATGGCAGAGGAAGTCATGTGACATCAACCCGTTCTCACTCCCAAACATCACGGGCGAGTTCAATCTCAAAACGTTTTGCACCGGTTTGCAACGTTTTCAGATTGAACGACATGTTTTTCCTTGAAACGTTGCGCAACGTTCTGCAACGGGCTTCGGGGTATGTTTTCTCCCGTTTGGTGGGCGTGTCTCATGTGTTACCCAATCAACTGCAACAAGTTTGTAAACACAACGGCGTTAAAAAGCCAGGAAAAAGTATTTTGGGTTAAAACGTGTAGCCTACATTGAGTCTACAAAGCCTTACTTAACTTGAAACATGTCACCTTCATTTTCTTTCATACAAGACACAAGAAATCTGCAAGATTTCTCCACTCATTCACTACTCCCTACCCCCTATGTAGGGAGTTGTATGTAGAGCACTATATAGGGAGCTCACTCGCATTATTAAAACAACACTTTCGGACCACTCCGATCGTTATTTCGTCGCCGTTAATTACGTCATTGCCGTCGGACAATCAGTTTTTTTCAGCACAATGCATGACGGTATATATGGCTTGGTTAGTGACCATCGGTTGTACGCTACTTTTCAAAATGCATTCTGGGATACATTGAGTGGACTATATAGGGTATAATATCGCTTACTATACATTCGGACAGCACTACAAAATGGCGAGCTCACTATATAGTTCACTATAGAGTGAGTAGTGGGTGATTTTGGACACGGTGTGTTCAGGGCCACCACCGTTTCCGTTGAAAAAAACGTTTTGCTAGGTTTTGTCTGTGCTGAACTCGCCCCACATATGGAGGCAGACCCATCGGCGTAAGTTTGTAACGCCCTGGGGATCCCTATAGCGTCATAATTCAAGGCAGTGGGGGAAGCCCTGTAGCATCAGTTTTTGAGGTAAAGGGCGGTATATGAGATTAAACAGAAAAGAGTGAGTATGCAGGTGGGTGGGTGGAGGGGCCAGAACCTGGACATTGAACCAGGAAACCAGGTCTGTGTCCTGTGTGAAACAAAAAGTTAACATTAATAATTTTTATTGAAGTTTCGGAGTTAAATTGCGTAAGTTATGTAAGTTAACAAATCTACGTAGTGATTTTAAGCCACACCATCATCTTTTCCTAACCTTAACCCAGCAGGCTACGTTTTGTGCCTAAACATAACCAAAGTGCAATTTTTCACGACTTTAATAACCTGCCATTTCGAATTGGTGATGTTTCGAAACGCTAGAGTCTTATTTTGAAAGTCTAACCGGCCGTTGCATATTTATTGCTGCTAACTTTACCGGACGTTGCATATTTGTTGTTGCTAAGCGTTGCTAACTTGACTACGAAGCCTTAAACGTATAATAATTGCGCTAAAGGGGTACCCAGGGCGTCAAAAAGCAACGCCAAAGGGCCTTGACCGAGTCGGGAGTGAGAATATGCTGGTGACATAGCGACATAGTCCATGTACTGTGGTTGGTGTGATAGATGAGTCATTCAAGAGACTGAAGATTTCTTGTGTCTTGTATGAAAGAAAATGAAGGTGACATGTTTCAAGTTAATTAACGCTTTGTAGACGCAATGTAGGCTACATGTTTTAACTCAAACCACGATCTCTTCCTAAACCCAACCAAGTAGTTTTGTTGCCCAAACCTCACCAAACTATGATTGTTTCGTGGCTTAAGTAAAGTAGAAGGTCCTGGCCTGTCACTGGACTGGTACAGGAAACACTCATGTGTCATTTTGGAGAACGGTCTGTATGGTTCTTCCACACGCTTCTACTGACCTTAATATTTGTCAAATGAATAAATTGTTTAATTGCCAATATGTCTATTTTCTTCGGACTTCAATCATCCAATCCACTAAACAACACCAAACAAAGTCAACAGCGAAGAAAAGCGGTTTGGCATTGTCAGAGAAGATTTGGCACATTTTTCATGGGAAAAACCTACTCAGCTCTGCTGCTCCTACAAATGCATGTTCCTTACAAATATGGCGCCATTTAAAAGGGACATTAACAGGCTATCCAATAGTATAAGATTTATTGACAAGAAGCATTGTTACAACAAAGAAATAATCACAAGTTTCCTTACTTTTTGCTTGTAGTTTATGTTGTTTTGGGACACTTGACAATCGATGTCTAGGTATGAGGACATGATCTAAATACTTCCTCCACCAGTGCCGGTCTGAACAATGCTCTGTACAGCATGAAGCAATACTTAAGAATTATAATAAAGGACAAGCCACATTATGTTTTAATCAAACAGGCTGAGAAGTTGTCACAGCTGTCATTCTCTTTATGAAAGATATGGTAATAAAAGACTGAGCAAAGACTTTTGAAATCATGAGCCAATATTTGATTTTGGTTATCTTTGCCTCAGCATTGGGCTACTGTATTGATCAGTGGGCGATCATTCTTCATGAGATAGCTGTGCACGCTGTACCTTGCTGGGTGGACTTAATCAGTCGATGGACCCTTGCTCTGTTTCATCAACATCACACTGGCATTGAACTAAATAGAGTGCATGTATTCTATCACTTTGATCACTGCTACTTTGTAATTTTTAAACTTTTTGTGACAGCTTTTTAAAGCCACACACAGGCATAATTTTAGCTCAAAAGTCATAAAGCATCTCCTAAAACATTGGTAAAACTTGATACATACATCTTGTATGTTTTCTCTTGAATCAGGCTTTATGAGCAGATTTCCACTGCTAGGACTAGTTTGGGCTCCCTGGTGGGTTCCCATGCTCTGTGTTTCCTGTGCAGATCAGTGAGCTGAGCTGATCCCCCTGATGCTCCTCTCTCCCCATTCTTTGCAGATAACCACAGCCAGGAGCTTGACCACCCTGGTGAACCTCAAGGAGCTTGTATCTCAATCATGCTGATAGCAACAAACACACACACCACTGCTGTCTTCTGCCCAACAGATTGACTGCTGTCAAAACAAAGGCCTTCTCAAGGAGCTACTGTTACAATGAAACAGTTGTTAAGTGAAAGCAAACATGCAGTTTTTGAGCTTACAGGTAATGCCATAATGATACAACACAGGTAAATACAGACTTCAGTTTTGTTAACCACTTTAAGAGCACATGGTGGACGTCCCATTCATCTGCACTCATCTGTGTTGGCTTTCTCTCACATTCATACTGACCCTCGCACCTCTACGTGTTGTAGGTCCGGAACTCCTAAGCCATAAATCCTATTAGTCAAGGATTCTCTGAAGTATTTTAGTCCTTTTTCCCATCTTTTATTGATTGCATGATCACTCACTACCTGAGAGACATCTGATCCCTTTGTGTATTTATATGTTGCAGAGCCACAAAAGTATTAATTAAAATAATACTCGATTCCACCTCACACCAAAACATCAAAACAACCATCTTTCAATGATGCCACTACTGTATAGAAGAAGAAAAAAACACATACACATTTCTGTCAATAATCTCTGGTGTTCTCCACAGAAGTTTAAATTGATCGGTCAAGCTCTGTGAGAAAGCATCTGCTTAAAATCCCTACTCTTCCTCTGTGGTGTCACCTTTCTCTCCGCCACCTTGAGCTCATGTGTTATCGCAAATTCAACATGGCAGGCCCAGCTTGAGAGACGGAAGTTCAAACCCATCGGTCGAAGGTCGTGTCACTCTCTGGATAGGGGTGGGGGTTCTGTAGTCTGAGTCACGATCAACACTATGTGATATTTCACACAGCATTATTTCATTCCGTGCATCTCCCCTTTTTGCATTTGTGTGTTTGTTAATTTGAGGGAATGACATCAAGAGAGAATGCGGGTAGAAAATAAGAAGCATAGTGAAAAAAGGTGATAAAGACATGTTGGATTTCTTTGTATGTCTGTAATCCAAGTTTTAGCCTCATACTGTGGTCTCTGGTTGTCCATGTGAATCTCATAGCCTTCTAATCTCATACTCCATTTTGTTATGAACATAAGAACACATATAGAAAACTGTAGTACAGCAGGGTAAAGGGTAAGTGTTACAATAACCTGATACTGCGCCCCCCCCCCCCCCCCCCCCCCCATTTCTGCTGCTGGTGCTCAACTGATCTTGACTGAATAAGCGAACGGTGTCACAGGTGTGTCAGATTGTTGAACTCGTTTTCCTGTGTTTTTTTCTTTTCCATACATTAACTGATTACTGTGTCAGCAGGCTTTCCTTTTGTGGGATTTATTATTTACATGTGGGTATACGTGGGACATTTTCTGCAGAGGGTGAGCCGGCGCATGAAAGCATGACTCATAACCCCCCCCCCACACACACACACACACACACACACACACAAAAAGAAAAAAATTGATGCACCAAGTTTAAAGTGGCTTTGTTAAATTTTATCCAACATGCACATCCAAATGAACATTTTGACGTGACTCTGTTGTCCTCCCTATCTGAGTAAATTGCAGAACATCCACAGAGCCGCGGGGCAAAAGCTTGGTATGCTGGTTCTTTTGTTGGTGAGAGGTTTTTGCTGAATGCCAGGCAGAGCAATCCAGCCAGCCCACAGGGGTCATCAGAGGAGGGAGGAGTTTTGATTATGATCATTATTTGGTAAATAAGATGTCAACAAGGTGTTTCCTTGACACTTTATTGAGAAAAAGGAGGAAGGTGCAGAAATGAACGCCCCCTTCTCAATGGGACCTCTAATCTTCTCTTTCATGACCCATCTCGTCTAAAGGGTTTCGGTGTTGGCTGCCATGTGCTAGTCTGCCTGGGCCTGGCACTTCTTACTTGCAGGTGGGGTGAGTATCCTGGCAAGCATGTGTTTATAAAACCCACTTGTTTGGGCACAATACTTGAACTAACTTCTTTTGAGAGAACAGTGTGAATCTGTGCAAAGCCTTTTCCCAAAGTCCTTTAGAAGGCGACAGCCCATTGAGAGTAGAGAAGAAGGGATTACCTTCCTCGACAGTGGTGCATTTCCGAGAGAGCTGATTAGCTCTGCATTCATTGTTAAATCGAGCAAAGGAAGGCCCTAGAGGAGTGAAAGGATCCAAATAGGTGGGCCCAGAAATAAAACAGCCACAGGAAGCCCAGCACAGGCAACCCAAAGTTTTCCCAACATTTCTTTCCCCCACTCCTAAGGAGGTGCGGCGTGAAAAAGGAGATTAGCATACAAAATTAGAGGCGGGATGATTTTTAAGGGCAACTTGCCTCATGCCCTCCACCCCCATGGCCCTACTCTGTCTGGACAAAGTTAATTAAACTAGTATTAAACAGTAAAGAAACTTCCAAGCGCTTGGGAGTTAGGGGGCTCTTTGAGGATTACCATGATGAGGGAGAGAACGGGAGGCATTTGTTAAGGCGAAATTGAGAAAGGCGTGATGGCGCGAGGAAAGATTTTTATTCTTGTTTGTTTGCCCCAGTATCCTAACCCCAATGTGAACAATGTGAAGAGTAAGGTTGTGTTTACTGCAAACCATCATGTATTACTGTCTCAAGGGGTATGTTAAAGAAGGATGAACACTTTCTTCAGGTCCAATGATATATGATTGACGGATTTATTATTATTTCATTACATTTTATTAGAAAACAAACCACAAAGGCAACTAATAATAAAGCAAAACTAGGAGATGCTGTGCAATAAATTAACAATGTACAGTACAAAGTGCTTGATTTTATATACAATTAAATACATCAAGAGGGCAGGAAAGGTCAGGGCAAGCCAGATGACGGGAGACCAGAGGTTCCCCAAAAAATGTCAAAAAGTTCGGCAGTGATAGTTGGAATAGACGAAGATTACTGCTATGCTGACAGTCTTAGGCAGTCGTGGGAATACAACCTGATGGGTTATTGAAAATTATTATTTTAAAAAATAATTATGCCATTGCTCCAGTAGTCCGAATATCTATCGCTCAAAAACTAACTAAAAAAATAAATAAATCTTGTTGGAGAATGTGTAAGTCAGAGAAAATACTATTCAAATGCCCAGTGACTTTTCAAAATGTTGTAAAAAGTATAAAAATATATCTTAAATACATTTATACCAAAAAAATCTACAAAGTTGTAAGCCCCCCCCATGTTCTCTTTCTTGTGGCTTTGTGCACATCACACAATTAACTTCCTAATACAAAATTGACAATGAAAATGCTGAAGTTGCATTTTTGCTAAGTTTCTGTCTATTTGAAAATGCACAGAGAGTCTGAGTGCTGACAGGAGCTGCAGCGGTACAGATATGACGACAACAGGGGAGAAGTGATGAAGATTCTCAGTGCTTCTTCCTCAGTCTGAGGTTCTTCCGGCGACTACTGGCACTTTCGTTCCTTCCCCTCTGGCCTCCTCTCTTTACACAAAAGTACTTGGTCACTGTCTTCCTGCACTGCTCACACTTGACCGCGCAGCACCAGTGGAATTTACAATTACAGCTCGACACCATCTCAGCTTTGCGCTCCTCCACAGCCAGCCCGCACTCCCCGCAAAGCCTCTTGCAGCTCCGCTTCTCCCATTTGGTCAAGTTCTTGCCCTTCTTAAGGCACTCGCGGCCCTCTGTGCCCGGCAAGCCCAGCGTGCGGTTTTCCAGGCAGTAATCGGGGGAGTCTTCGAGGTGTACCAGCTCCTTGCGAGAGATGGAGCTAAAGGTCTCGGCGATGGCCCCCCTGCTGGCAGCGCTGTTCCCGGCTCCTCGGAGGAGATCCACCTTCAGAGCCCTGTGGTACTTCTCCTTCAAATAGTTCCCCACCTCCCTGAAATCTGGCAGCTGCAGCCAGCAGGTCTGAGTGGTGCAGCTTCCTGATACCCCATGGCACTTACATGTTTTCTGCATGGTCCCCTTCACAGCCTGGAGACACAGTAGGGAGGTAAAGACGGAAAGGTTCATTTTATTAAAATGTATTTGTAGTTCACTGTATTGAAGAATATTGGTGTCATGTAAAAGACAGTGTCAGTTTCCAAACATGCGTACATGTGTGTCTATCTAATATATATGAGTAAAAGACAGGATGTCCATTGTCTCTTGATTGATGTGTTGTCAAATTAACTGATTGTATTCTCAAAGTTTTGAAGTTAAGTTTAAGAAAAGGTATGAATACACTGAAAGGAAGAAATGATAGCTTCAAGGCCCGTTGCTGATTTTCTTTGTCGTCCGCAGTGTTTCCTGACTTTACCCGAAACAAAGCAGCTGTCGGTTGAAAAGGGACATTTCTTTTCGCGAGGAGGGGATGAACTTTCTGCTGAGGTTAGGCTGAATCAAAGTTTCACATTGAGTCCTATTGTCCCCCCAGAAGAAATAGGAGTATTTATTTAGCATGTTCATTATCAACATGTTTTCTAGTGTGAGAAGACCCAATGGAGAGTCCCATTGAGTGAAGAAATGAAAAAGGAGTTTTTCTCTCTTTCTATCCTCATTTTTTTCTGTTACAATGATGCTCCAGGTGCCATGGGGATCCTAGGGCCCAACAGGGGGGAGCAAAGGCACCGTAAACAAAGAGCACTTCAGCTGCACGCCTGTGGTCCCCTCAGACTCCCTTGGGGCCAAACAAAGACCAACATAAATGTGGGATCCTTATTGCAAGAATAAAACTAAACACTTATTTTAAAAAGCAGCATAATACAGAATGCTGTGCAATGTCTGGCTCCCCAGGATCTCTAATTAAGCCTGCACCAGCAATCCTGAGATTCTTGAGTTGAGGTATTGTCATAAGGGGCATTCAGCACTAGTAAATAGGCCCTTCTGGTACACCGAACACACTGTTATTATTGGGGACGAGTGGCACCTCACTTATAGCGACGTGAAAAGGATGCTTGGGTGGCACACTCAGTGTAATTCTGAGCAGGGAAAAATGATTCAAAAGATGCTTTACACTGTGCAATCAGTTGGAGGGCCCACAGAGATTCCCAAAATTTAAACCAGGCTGCCACCCAGTTTAAATACTGTATGGTTCAAAGTCGAGACCTTATACTTAAGGCCCATCTCTCATTGCCAAATGGATGGCATGACTTAAGAGCACCGACTGTACCTTGCGTCCAGCCTCGTTATTATGGAGATTCATAGCCGCCCGTGCATCCTGCCCAGTCTCCAAGGCATCCACAAACTGTTTGGAGATGGCCTCGCCAAAGCCAACATTGTCACTGCAGCCGCCCCAGAGCCAGCCGTGACCACCTAGGAGAATAAAAAAAATAATTAAGTAAAAATCCACCTGTGTGTCAGCCTCTGCTGCTGTGGGTATTCATGTACAGATTTGTCTATTTTTCTGACCCCGCTGTCCATTCCTGCTGTCATCACAGCCGCAGTTGTCAAAGTCTCCAAGACTGCAGTTCCTGGTTAAAGTGTACATGACTCCAGCGGAGCTGATGGCATGGACGAATGCTGTCTCCCGATTTGCTGTCAGCAGAGAAACTCTTTAACCATCTTGTCTCATCACACAGATCACTCATTGTATGTTAGGAATATATTTTAATACCTTTCTCTCAGTACCTGCAAAAAAAACTTTAATTATCATATTTATTATTTAGTTGTACTTTTAACTGAAAAAAACCTTAATTACCTATATTCTGTTCTGACCATGAAACCAGCGTCATTGGTGTGCCTACATGTTCACTTTGTATTGCCAAACATATTGATTCTTTCATAAGCTGCAAATACAGGCAATGATTATGGTGGGCGGGGGGGGGGCATGGATTATTGTGTTTGTTATGCTTCTAGTGCCCGTGCCAACTGTAACTAACCCAAGGGGTGGTGAATGTTTTGACTAAGCAAACATCCCTATTTCACAAAGGGCAAAAACAGCCCCCTCTGACACAGAAACTTGCAACAAACAGGAGCAGACAGTTACAAAACACTTAAAACATCTTTAAAATTCCATTAGGCAATTCCCATTAGTTTCCCATTTAGAAGTGGAACGTCTGTCGAGATGTCTGAGCTGGTGTTAAGGCCAGCTGGTCTCTGGGGACTCTAGACTTACCGCTGCGGAGGCTGCTGTGCGTGGACAGCTGCAGAGCTCGCTCGGGGCAGTTCCAGCGGTCCCATGCAAACTGGTATTTGCACTCCTCAATACCACTCTGTGCTCCTGCTGCCACACTGCTGGAGTAGATCAGGTATGCCTGCAGCAGCAAAGACAGGGATAATATTAAACTCATAAGATAATGCACAGGTACCCCACGTCTTGCAACAAAGACAACACGATTTAAGATGTTGAGGTGGTTGCTGGCATGATTTGATACTCAGTTTATCCACCTTAGATTGTTAATTAAAATTAGATTAAAATGTGAGCATTTGCACCCTAATAAACCCAACCCAATCAATCTAATATAAGTGTGACATTTTAAATAAATGACACAAGCCTGAGCCCAGATCACAAACAGATGTCACTTTAAGAGAGTCCTTTGTCACAGCTTCACTTCTGGTGCTTCTGAACAGACTCAGGGTTCACCAAATCAAAAGTTATATGTGAAAGAAAAGTAGGAATGGTGATGGGAACCAGTCTCAGGCTCTTTTACATTTATATCTTCCTACTGGTGAGAAATGCTTTACTCTCAAGTCTTTCACGTACCTTTCTTGACCAGGACATAAAGCCCAGACTGAAACACTATTACTACACTAGGAAGTTTTAAAATGTGTCTTGGCACAAGTGGGTAATATATCAATAAGTACTTAATGTTCTGGAGACTGACATTTTTTTCATGACAAAAACATTGTGAAATGCATTCAAACATTGTACTTTTTAAACGATGTTTCGTTGAGTTGTCTTTAACCAGTACTCTCTGTCCTTGCCTTTCGCCCGCCTCTCCGCTGCCTGTTCAAACTGTGTGAACGATAATATAACTAATATGTCTCAAGTGGCCTTTGGTGAGATGGAGTACCACCTCTTTCACAGGGGTCTGGCTCACTAATGATGACCACCCACTACAGCAATGCCAGCCCTCAGCTCTTAAAACATTCAGCCTGCTGATACACAGAGCCTCTGAATAAGGTCAAGTGTACAGAGGGGGGGGGGGGGGGGGGTTCCAAAGGGCTAAGAATATCACTGATATATCATTAGTGCCATTGTTGCATACAGACAGGTACCAGAGCTTGTCCATACACTTGAGTTAAGATATCACAAGGACAACAGGCCTTAAAAAACACAGAGTCCATGTTTTCACTACCTCTCTCTTTTGGGCAAAGGACAGGGAGAAAAGATCAAAAGAAAGTTGGCTTACCTTGGGTCCAGTCATCAAGAAATTATTCACTGACCTGGAAAAGAAGACAGCTTATTCACTCTGGGAAGCTCAGTGTCCTTCACAAATTCCTCTGCTAACATCTCTCATTAGTGCGCTTTGTAACATGTTAAACTGTGACACCAGTAGGAATCCAAACCTCAGCAACACGGCTGAATTTGTTAAAGCGCTTCTAGAAATGTAAGAACTAAGGGTAACACTAATGTTATTAACACTTGATTACTTACATGTTGGGTTGCCAGGATTGGAAAAATCCCATTGGCTGGTGTTTATCCTTTCTACTTGGAAATAATGCAGCTCTATTATATAGGCTATAGAGGGTAATCTATTTATAAAGGCTTATAGGTTTCTCACCTTCTAATAAACCATCAAGGCTGCCATTATAAATGTTAATAAATCATTAATAAATGGTTTTAACCCATCATGTCTGCAGTTTTACGTGTTGGTAGGTTGTTAAGAAATTAATTTTGTACCAGATTGTCTGCAGCCCTTTTCCAGAAATAAGGAGTCAGACCAGTCAAAAGGAGTTTTTTACAACCTGGCAAACCCAAGTTATTTTTTTCAAACTGCTTACAACTGATGTATAAAGCATTAATAAATTATGTATTCACCATTACTAAATAAATAATAATTAGTTAAAACCTATAAACCCTTTATAACAGGTGCCTTATTGGAAGCTGTAGGCTACTGGTGAAATTAATAAAATATATTCTTTTACAATTTCTGTGAAAAAGTATTCCTTTTGAATAATACTCTAAGTCCTACTACTGATGAGAGAGATATATAAATAAGGGTTTACAAACAATTTTATAAATGCTTGTGTTGCATATATTGCCACCACCATGAAATGAAATGTTTGGAGATGAACATCATCAGGACAACAAAATAATAATTCATAATAAAAACGGGGGGGGACATAATAAAACCAACTTACCAACAGCAGTATGACCTCATGTGAGTCAGGAGAATGAAAATGTAATAAAAAACCTCCAAATGCATGAACATCCTGTCAGCTGAGGGTGATGATGGTGACTCTGAGCCTGTCCAAAGCCTGCAGACAGTCAAACGATGGAGAGGAAACTGAGCTACCAGCACATGAAACTTCACCAGGGCTTCCAAGATTTAAGGAGGGGACTCTGAAATGGAGCTGCTCTTGTCCCAACAAGAGATTATCTGCTTAATTAAAGATTTTCCCCCTTCTTACTCTCTCGGCCAATCAGAAGTATTGTACCAAGGAGAGACTGAAATGATCAAAAGGGCACCCTGGGCCTTCAGGGCCGGGCAACGGTAGGTTCCCTGCCTCCTTTCAAGAGCAAAGGAAGATCTGTTTAATCCTATAGGAAAAGTGTAACAGTGATCCCTTGAATTTCTGGTCAGAAAACTCGGCCTATCTAATGCCCAGCTGATTGTGGGGGATTAGTGGATGGCAAATTGTCAGTTTGATAAGAGAGAGAGAAAAAAGGCCCATACTGCTTGCTCTTGGGGAAGAAATTCATGTTTTCACAAAGTGATTGAATCAATATTTATCTCCCTGAAACAGAAGGACCATTACTGAGACGGAAGTCGACAGGCATTGCCTCAAAAGTGTTATTTAACAGTTTCATTTAAAATGGGGTCACACTGCCACGACAAGTATCGGAAGATCATTTATTTAGGGATCAGCTGCCGGTAGATGCGTAGGCCTAACTTTTACGATGATCAGGGATATTATTTCCATTTTCCCACATCTGTGCACCTTTAGTCGCAGAATTAGATGCGACGATATAGATACCTGCAAATAAGAAAGTGACAAACTTGTAGTCTAATTTTCCATTTAGGCTAATTCAATGTATGATTTAGGTCGCTGATAGGATGCTATCAGGTCATAGTGAATCATTATTGTAATTTGCACACTTTTTCCTGCATTTTCAATCAGCTAAATATAAAACAGGATGACTTTTGTTTAGTTCCCCGGATCATTTCAAAGAGAGAATTCCTCCGAGTCATGTTCCTCCATCAGAAAATAGAAGGTGGATTTTTCCTAGCCATTGATCAGATAGCGTATGGGACATTTGCATCACTAATCCAGACGGTCCCTACCTAACGCTGGATGAAGAGTTATTCCCCAATAACCCTGTCTGACCCTTAGGACCCTTTCCTTCGGCACAGGCAGTCCTTTAGCGATCTTCTTGTGTGCAAATTAGGATTAGAGAAGAAGGTGATTTGGAGTTGGGGGGGGGGGCTTCTGAGGGATGTTTTTGGAATAAGATTTAAAGTGGCATGACAAGTAAAATAGTAAAATGAGACAACCGCAGGACCCACTCCACACTTCATGTTGTTTTAGCATTTCATATAGCCTACGCTACACAATAAATGATCCCTTCACAGAAAGCCTCAACTAAAACGCGCAGTCATGCCTATTCTCTAGGCAAATCAACACTAGTCATTTCTCAAGAGCAAAGTATTAACGTTAGGCCTATGTGCTCTATGTTTGAAACCCAGTTTTTACACAAATGCAAACGCCTGAGCATAGGCTGCTGGAAAGTGGGCATGATGACAATCAAAAATGTAAATCCTAAGCACATTCATCCTTTTTCTGAATCATTTCATTCTACCAAATGATCTCCTGAAAAGCGGCCAGCAACAGCAACAACATCAGGCCACTGTAGTTAACAAGTCCTCTGTGTTGCACATGTTTGCAAGTGCCGAACTCAAACAGTCTGGCAGGCCACAGAGACGTGTCTGAGCTCTCACTGGGAGTGTGAACACGCTGAGGTTTTACATGTCGTGAAGAGGATGGCCTGACAGTCAGCAGCCAATGACCAGAGAGAGGGCTGATGTCACGGTTGGGGCAACCGAGATCAGCAGTGGTGGGGCCACTTGCAGCCTACATTTGGACCGGACTCAGACTGTTGGTGGCGCCGCTCTGTAGCAGACTCCAGCATTTTGGCACAAAATCACCAACTGCAACATGCACGTAATATTTTGTGACTTACCCAGAACAGAAGGATGATGCACCGCGTTAGCCGTTTATTTGACTTGCAGTAAAGTAATTCTCCAGCAGAGGGAGCAAGTTCACAGATCCTTACAAAAGTGGAGAGATGTGATCACAAACACTGAAGCGTCTTTGTTGCCCTCAGCAAGGAAATTGTTTTTTTGGTTGCCCACCTCTAAGCAAATTGGTTTTTAAATACTGGGAGCTGGTGCTTTGCTCAAAGGTACTTCAACAGGCCTGGTAGTGCATGGAGAGGAGGAAATTTTGAACTCAGCGCACCTGACCTCCCTGCTGCTCCAATCATGGATTACAGACATGACCACAGTTAAAACAAAAAACAAAAGCCTGTTGTAACATTTAAGTCTTGCAGTAGTGGAGATTTAAAGCTGTAAAACATTAAGTACCATATCTACAGAAAGCTGTCATCTTTGGATCCCCAAGGAATGTTCATACTATATCTGCACATATTTCAAATAGGTGTTTATGGTGGTGTGACAAGTTCGGCGACCTTGCAACAATGTTAGATGTACGTAAGACTGGTGAGCCAAGCATGAAAAGCTGAGGTGGCCTAGATCCCCATCAGTACAGGCATGCAGACAGGAGACAAGGCTTTCAATTAGCAAGTACAATGTGTGTTCACAAACAGGAAGAATGGGAGATGGCTCAATTATGACAGCAGAAAGATGAAGATAAAAACGTGCAGACCTGTCGGACCAACTCATGGGATCACTATATAAAAGCATGTTGTGCACATTCAAACCCACACAACTGTCAGTGATGCTCCAAAAATGTCACACACAAAAAAAGTAGGCCTATGTCAATGCAGCATCTCAGATCATTAATTTACATACTCACGCTTGGTGGGGTGGTATGTGTCATCCTCAAGCTCAGGTCCTCCAGAGGTCTGGGAGTTGAGGGTTCTGCACAATCTCTTAGCTGTTCCAAGCCTGCACTCTTCTGGACAGAGACTTTCAATGTTGTACCTGGAATGTGGTGGAGCCACTCTCCCAGTTTGGGACTCACCCCAGTGCTCCGATTATTACTGGCACCACTTCTGTATTTACCTATTTTCCTTTAGTTTCTATGATTTTTTACAGTGATTTATGTTTTATTCTTTAGGGCACACTTTGTTAACGATTTGATGCTTTTGAATAATTCTTGATAGTATAGGTAATATACTAACTTTAAAATTAGTTTATTATCATTATCAGTAGTGGTTGTTATTCTTGTAGTATCCATAAGCCTCTGATGAAGAATGTAACAGAAATAGTATGGTCATCATTTTTATTCAGTATACGAATAAGGAGTTTTACAGAGTTCCAGCAAAAACAGTAAAACATACCTTTGTCACAAGTAGAAAATTTGGTTTATTTATGGTACATACAGTGGGCAAAAACATTCTTTGAAAAAAAGGTGCCATTTTTTAAGGCATTTAAACTCCCAGAAGGTAACACTGTATACAAGTGTTGCTCTGTAAAAGATGGGGTGTGAAAAATACTCTGACAGTATCATTAATGATATCATGACAAGTTTGGATCTTGGAGCAAAGTATTTGTTTGGTTACAGTTAAGTTAAATCATAGTAACCCATAAATGTTTTAGGAATTGTTGAGCGGTCCCTCTTTTTTCATTATAAATAAGAGATCAATTTTTGAAGTGTTCCTTAAAAACAGACAGACGCCACCAACAACCGTGAATCTAAGCCCTAATTTAGTTCCATAACTTGCACTTATAATCTTTTTTAACAGGTGTGCAACCTACATAAGGCATTGGGTAAGAGTCCTGACACATTTCAGTAATCACATAGCACACAAGGTAAATTCACCTAGACATGCCTCATTGGCCTTATCTGAGGGAGAGGAATACCTTCAAATTTGAGCGTGTGATGTGATTATATATATATATCACAAGTATTTGAAATTAATACAAAACATCTGAAACTCTCCTTTCAGATTAAGAGTGAGAATTCTGGTTCTATGTTTCAGTCCAGAGGCGTCTACATGAAAAGGGTTAATGATGAAGTCTGTGGCGGCTTCACTACTTAACCAGAGGTATAGACTGCGTTACACCGGACACCTTAATCCTCATTCGAAGCCCCATGGACAGTTGGAGACAGTGGGTGTATCCCAAAAGTTCAACCCATCTGAACTGTATTCACCCATGCGTTTCTCTGGTATGATAAATGGGGAAAGTTCAGTAGAGTGTTGACAGTCTTGGTGTTGGCCTTGAACACGGCAGCTTATGGTTTAGTAAGACTACTAGCTTACCAAAAATAAAGAAAACCTTACATTAAACACAGACAAACAAATATCAAGCTGAAACGCCACTCCCTGTGGAATGAAACAAAGCACTACTGACAGAAATTAGAGCAAAAGGCCCTCAACCTTGCCTGTAAAGAAGCCTCACTGTTAAGGGTTTCAATAAAGTGCCAAAGACTACAAATAAATAGCACATTAACAAATAAGACATACAGTAAATTTTTCTGTAATTACTGCTTAAACACACCGCTCACATAGACCTGTTTGGTTGTCCTACTGGTGCCAAAAGAGACTCAAATCCCAATTAGCCCTTTTCATCCTCTTCAGTTTTATATTATGGTGAAAAAGCTGTGCTTGAACATGTAGCCAAGTCGCTGTCTGTGGCTAACAGTCGGTGAAGACACTTCAAAACTTAAATAGAGACCCAGACAATTTATGGAAAGGCCTAAAACTCTTTAAAAGCCAATATTAGTTTCAGGAAGAGGTTTAATTTATAATCAGAAGTATGGTAATCACCCCCTTGTCACTGAAATGCTGCTATCCCTGTTGCTATGTTCTGTCTTATTTCCACACATCAGTATCAATTGTAGAGTTTGGAGCTCGTGTGACTCAGCCACTTTTGTGGCTGCCGTCACCCGTCCGCTGAATGCGAGCAATGATCAATTCCTTCGACACCTTCTTGGGGTCATTGGCCAAACCCAGGAAGCACATTAAGTCTATAAAGGCGGTGGTGATATTGAGCTTGCAGCCAAACTCGCTTGTGGCGTAGTCGAAGGGGAATGTGTGATGGTAGTTGTGGAAGCCTTCCCCTGAAAACCAAAAAAGAAAAACTTGTGTTTAGTGTTTTGCTAAAGCGCACAGGCATAACTTGAAGGAGTGGCAAACAGCTGTGGGCAGAATGCTGTCTGATGAGTGAATGTGATTTGATGCTATGGGAAGACTTCAAGGCTGACTGCCCTGTGATTAGATTTACAAGCAACCGAAAGATCTGTTAAGTTACTCTTTGTTATCGTTATGATGCTGTTCGGTCGTCAGGGTCACAACAACAAAGTGTATATATATATATATATATATATATATATATATATATATATATATATATATATATATATATATATATATATATATATATATATATATATATATATATATATATATATATATATATATATATATATATATATATATATATATATATATATATTTATTACTTTTTTTACATCTGATGTTTACATTTTTTATATTTGAAGCTTATTTTACATCTCTATTTATCGTATTTTTATTTATACTTATATTTTATTTTTTATTGTAGGCATTTGAAGTGGACAGCAAAATAAGAATTTCAGTGTAAATGGAAACTTGAACATCTGACAATACTTTGAATCCTTGAATGGTCACAGCAAAGGCGTGCCCACAGCTCTAGGAGAGCAACTATGAATCCCACAGATTATTGCAGTAGTAAACATTCACAGTGCATAGTTGTGCTCTAGACTACAATGACAAAAGTATTCTGAATATGCTACAACTTCTGATTCACACCTCTGGTACCCGGAAGTAAACAATCCATCCTTGTGTTGAAGAACATTGAGGTTATCATCAGAAACTTTCAAATGTGAACTTAAGTGAAAAATACTTCCAGAACAAGCAGCAACAGACTACTCCATTTACTAAGAATGCGTTTACTAAAGCTGTTCTGGAGGAACAAGCAAGATGGAACATGGAAAAACGATTGTAACTAATTAAAATGACACAGATGAGATTTAAAAGAAGGTGAAAATGCTAGTGCTGTTTTGTAGCCAACTATGATCAGTGCTGTTAGCAGCATTATGCCCCCGTGGTGTCAGCCACCACAAATGAAGTCTTGACTCGTAAGAAATGATGACACTGAAAATACCATCAGTGGCCAACTCTAAAATAAAATGGCTAAACACACAGATAGAAAGCTGACCACCAAATTTCAAAGCTAAAACTGGGCCAGCTGGGACAAAATAAACCATCAGCCACTGGATTAGCACACTGTCCCACTACAAATGCCAGATTGAATCAGCTCTGAGAAATACTCCAGCGTGGTTGACTTGATAAGCTTTCAACAAGTGATGAAAAGATCATTCAAATATCCATCACGTGCATAAAGACACCAAATAACATAATTACGTAGTCACAAAACAGTATCAGCACATTTTGGCGGGCCTAATATTAGTGAATAATGAACTTGCTGTTTCCTTACCTATGGCACTGAAAGCAACCAGTGGGTTTTCCCTCGGGTTAATGGTCTTGTCATAAGGCCTATTGCCCCATATGTGTGCAGCGCTGTTGACCAGCCAGGTGGCATTGAGCACCACAGCGTATCTCAGGAGTCCAGGGATGAAGTATGCCACAATCAAGGACTCACCCCAGAAGTACCAGGGCACCAAGGTGGGCACGAGGAAGCAAAGGATCAACACAGAGAGCTTGTAGTGCCTGTAATGAAATAACAAAATGCATCTCACACAGATGCTCTGCCATAATTCAATCTGAGACTAAATCAAATAAAAGAAGATATTTAAATAACGTAAATAGTTTGTTTGTTTGTGTTAGATTAAACTGACAAGAAATCATTTTTTGTTCTTATTGGAAAAGTCTATACATTCTGTAAGCCCACAACACACTGGAAATGGGAGTGTAAAATCATACTGCATCTCGTGTTTGATTTAAACAATTTGACAATTTGATAAAAATCAAAGTCTGTACCCACGTCAGAGTAAAAGGTCCCACAAAGGCCACAAATGTAATCCTACATTATTTTGAGGGCAATTATAAACATATTAACATGATTAACTCCAGACGATTTGCACATTAATTCACTGTACGCAGTTGATGGGGCATTCTTATTGGTTGGCTCTTGCTGATGTTAATCCCCTCTGGCTGAGAGCAGAAGTGAAAATCTGGGACTGCATCCAGAAGAGCAGAAATGTTGACAAATGACCAGTCAGTGGACACTACAGAGGCATGCTCTGATTTGGTCCCTGATGCAAAAAGCATTACTTATCTGTAGATCTGTAGTGTGCTATCATGGTCACTATAAGCCCAGACTACAACATCCTGTTCGGGTTGAGCCAGAGGGAAAATTACTTTTAATAACAAGACGCAAAAGAACAACGAACCCTGCAAATACCTTTCAGTGTTTCCCATTAATTAACGAGACCATGGCGGCCCACCACAGTCCCGAAAATATTTTTACACATCTCATAATAACATTATATCTAATGTTGTGTTTTATGGGCGCTGCTGTAAGCTCGCTCGCTCACACACTTTGGCATCCGACTCAAGACAACCACGGCGATTAACCTAGCCACACCTAAATTTTGAGTGCACACATATTAATGCCTTTATGGTAAATCCACTGAAACAGACCAGTGCAAGCTGACAAGCAGGTTCGCGACTTTATCCTGTCATTTTCTCTCTTTACAAAGACAAGTGTTGCAGTTTGAGTGACCTACCTGAAGAGAGGATTTGAAATCTTCATGTTACGCGATACGAAAACCGCATTCAATATAATTTATCAAATTGGGTCGGACTTGATGAATTTAGCGCAAGGATACACAGTGACAATGTCCAGTTTTCAAAATAAGGTGTCTCTACAGTATGGAAATAATATTAATTATTCTATTTTCTATTCTTTGATCTTTAATTTGATGACTTTTGTTGCCGTTTCATCACCATTATACAATGGGTTTATGATCAAATAGTTTACTAGAGCACAACACTGTTTACAAGAGTGCAAAGTTCTTCATAGGTAGCCTCTTAATTTTGCACCATATGAATGCATTTAACTTTAAAATGTACAAAATTTTCCTCGCCAGCGGCATGCCCCCGGAGCCCCTGAGAGGGGGATAAAAAGACCACTCATCACATTGTCACACTATTTCCTGCATAGCAATATTTTCTGTGGCAACATTCAGTGCTAATGCAGGAAATAGTGTGACAATCATGAAGGCTTGAAGGACAATGTGATGGGTGGGCATAAGTGTTAGTTGTAGGGTTAGGGTTACGGTTAGTGTTATGATCAGTCTCAGACTAATAATCGGTTTTGACATTTTTATTTTTGAAACTTGTTTTCTATTCCAATTTCTAAATTAGTTGGGAAATTAAGATATCAAAAGTATGAAAAATGCTGTATGAGCGTTTCGTGTGACATGTTGAAGCAAGATCTAATGCAGGTAGTATTCATTTTTGCAGATGAGTTTAGCAAGAATGTCATATTACAGGTGGTATTTCATTTCCACCAAAAAACATATCTTGCTAATGCAACAGAACTGCACAGGTGACAAGATTACAGTGAAACAATGATGATATACCAGGCCTTGGACATAGCCTGCAGTGACAGCACCTGATTACATGTGGACTTTTGTTATGGCTGGCTAGAATCGATTTAGTAATGTTTGCTTACCTTCTCTGGAACATGACCACTTTATCTGCCTTCAGGTCTGACATATCCAGTTTCTTGCCTTTTTCAATGACGTCGGGATGTTTGCGAACCAGCAGCCAACCGATGTGAGCGAAGAAGAACCCCCGTGTGGCATTGTGGGGGTCTGCGTCCGTCTCTGAGTACTTGTGGTGGACACGGTGGTCCCTTGCCCACTCGAATATGTCATTCTGCTCACAAAGAGACAGTCGATGAAAAGGATTACAGAAAGGCACCCATAAATATGCATCGTAATTGCCTAATTGAAAATTGTCAAAAGTATATATACATACTCCTTGTTTAGGGAATATAGAATCTGTAATTATGCAAATATTTTTCCATTTCAAAAGTTTAACTGCTGGACACAAGATGTCTCTGAAAACAGTTAGGTCCATTCTCAATGTTTGTATACTGGACCCCGATTGACTATCAAACTAGTTGTGATGTCACGAAATCCTGCTCATATATCCCTGTGTTAAACTCCAATTTAAAGGTGACGACAGGGAAACTTTCCACCTTCAGTAGACGAACGTGAAAACAGCCTTCTAGTGTCAAACTCTGCACATTCAGTACACCACTCTTCACAGTGAAGCTTTAACATTCACATCACAGTCTAGGAACAATAAGCAAATCATAAGTTTGAGTGGAGGACTACTTTAAGATGAGGCAGCAACTTGGAATAAAGGGGAGTACTGTACACATGGAATATTTACATATTTGTCTGTTTTACCTGAAAGGCCATGGAGTTGGCAAGAGCGAGGAAGACTCGCAGTGGATTAGATGCCTTATAGGATCTGTGGCTCCATAATCTGTGTGCACCAGCAGTCACGCCAAGAGCACTGATGAGGTAGCACACGACAGCTGGAAGAAAGAGAGGTGGAAAGAACAGATATCTTAGGGGAAACTGTCACCACTACACAGAGATTAATTTTACACCCATGAGAGCAGAGTCACTGGGACACCATGTTCTTTCCATGACACCCAGGCCTCTTTGTTCAGAGAAAAGTCACTTATGTGGAGAGATGGGATGGTGAGGGCACGCAGGTCTGCCCCCTTGTTGTTCTAAAACTGCTGAATGTGTTTCTATGTGAAGCCTAGACAAGACTACCCAGGATTTGAGGACCGGGGGCTTCTGACTGGCAACGACCAGTCTGTTGTGGTGCCACGCAGCTCACAATGGGATGTCTATGGGAATGGTGATTGTGCTTTGTCTTCCCCAGTGAAATAATATGCAGCTCAGCATTGCAAAGAGAGGGAGAAATTATGCAGTGCCAGAGTGGAAACAAAGTTGAGACTGTTCAGGAATTTGAGCTATGCCTCAACTGTCTACATATATAAGACACAATCATAACAAATTAATTCCAATTATTCAGTATTAACAGTTTGGCTTTTATCACTCAAATGCAAATTTGGGAAATGGTGCACAAACCAACAATCCCAATTAGTTCAGCCACAGCAGGGATGTGTATAATGAAAATTACAAGAGTCAGAGTGATTCTTTCTCCCATTATTCCAACAGACAAGACCCCTCAGGCTGTATGTACTGTAGTTAACAGTGATCACACAACATCAGCACATTCTGTTCTCTGTCTGTGGCCTGGGGGGAGGAAATCCCTAACAAAAAGCTGCGATAGTATTTACTAAATACTTACACCATGCAAGAGTTGAAGCCGATGCGGAAGGAAGGAGAATCAGTCCATAAAGCGCAGCGACATGTAGGAGGGCCATCAGTATGATATTTCTCCACACCATCATCTTCGGCGGTTTGGGACCCTCTTTCTCTTTATAGGTGTCGTCAAAAACATCCTCCACTGTCGATATTTCTGCCATGGCACCTCCGTTCTGTTGCTTGCCAGCGTGGTGGTTCCTGGTTTCCGTTTCAGTCATTTTTGCCGAAGTGGTTCTGTGGGAGCAGTGCGTTGTAGGGAGAAAAAAAAGAGAGGGATGTTGCTCAGTTAAGTGCGTACAGCGGGATGCAGAAACAGAGAGGAAAGTACGGCGGCTGGCTGTGTACATACAGCAGTCTGCGTTTTCAGCATGCAGTCTTGTGTTTTTTTTCCAGCAGCGCCGAGATCGCGATCTAGTGGCATACTCAGTCATGGCACTGTTGCTTCATGGTATTTCGCTGCCGCTCTACTGGTTTATGATACTTACTATCTTATCTCATCTTATGGTACTTATAAACGGTAACGTTATGTATCTTATGTGACACGGCCATAAATATAACCACATCCTACCGCCATATAAGTTACCGATTCATTTTGGCATATCCGGGGGTAAAATGAGTACGCCACCGCTATGTGCGACACAGACTCATGTTTCACTACTTTTACCGGTTGTTGTGTCTGTCTTTATTAATATCATATCCTGAATCATAGCGGCATGCTGTTCCACTTGTAGATGCACTGTACAAACAGGTAGCTAAGTTACTGTGTAACACTTGTAGCATGGTAGCTAGTTGCTACAGAGATGCCCACTTCCTGTAACGATGATGTTATTAACAGTCATTGGTTTACTGAACGTTATAATTATTTTAGTGGTGGCTAAGCTAGCTGGTTATCATATTGGACAAAGTTTGACCATTAGCTCGAGCTATGGGCATGACAACCCGTTATTTCTTTTTAAATGAAATTTAATAAACAAATAAATTATACTTCTTACATTAATTTCAGTAGAACAGCACCTAATAATAGGTTAAAATGACTCGTATCCCGGTGTACATCTGCCAGTAGCGACATACTTCTAGTCAAATACCATGTGTAATTTGCATGACATTCGGCGTCTCTCTGAAAAAGTCCATTCAAATTCGAGTTCTTTTAAATGGCTGCTGAAGGTACCCAGGTTGAGCCTACTCACCGTGTGCTTTCCAACCGCTTCTCACCACAGAGGACCAAATCTGCAAGGGGGATCCGGGCGCTCGTGAGATGTAACCTGGAGGTAAAGATGCAAAAATTAAAGGGAACACTGGTGCGTTGATCCCCGGTTAACTTACTGAAGTCCTCTATCGCCTTATTCCGAGGTCGTTTTAAAGCAATCGGTGGATGAGTCAAGTGATGCCACAGGGTCTGAATATCCCATTGGCTGTTTACTTAACATCCTGTTTACCACCCTCCGTTTTTTTTCACCCTCATAAAGACCATTATATGAGGGATCAATAGATGTTGCCTAATTGTTCCAATCAACTTCTTGATCTTTATATAACTCTTTAATCTGATGAAATATTGCAAGATATCGCAAATACATGTCAGCTCATCTGAAACCGTGATGTCCGTTAATGACAATCTCAGTTTGAGGTGGGGCGACAAAGAAGCAAGGTGCATTCACAAGACATTTCAATGGCAGATTTTTGATTTAGTTAACAATTGCAAGGGTGGTCTGACATGGTTGAGAACTGTGAACAAATATCCAAACTTTTGGTAGATACAGTACATTTTCCCAGTAAAACACATTCTTTTTTTTCCAGTGTCATGTAGACATCAGCAATCAAAAATAGTATGGCCGAAAGCTTCTTACTGAAATTGAAAAGTGGGAGTTTTTTTTACAGCCATGGTGTGATTATAAATAACAGAGTTTTTACATCAGCACATGCTTTTGATCAGTACCCTAAATCACAGAAATGTCGCCACAATATATTTGTGTGTAAATTTTGTAAAATGTCTTTCAAATCTTGCTAAAGTTGCCAGAACAGAAGCACAGAGAAGTAAAATATGAGACTGAATATGAGAATACAAGTTCATTGACATGCACTTACAGCACCCTGGCAGTGCTGTGGGGGGTAAAATTAGTTCATTCCCCTGTCTTTCTGCTAACCCTGGCACACCCTAGATGTTTTTTGTGCACGAGTAGCATCATCCCATTACTTCACTCAAGAGATAAAAGAACATCCTATGAGCCAAGGCCTCCTTGTTGCAATGGATTACCTCACATAATGGTGGTAGCCTCTCACAAACAAAACTGGGTCACTCATAATGTGATGTTATGACCTGTAGTGAACTGGAATAGATGGGATGTTGCTTAGTGGGATGGTCATTCTAGAAGTTGTAATACCGCCATCTACTGCACAAATATAGGTACTGCTTGTGAATCTGGCTCAATGAAACTACCTATGAAAACAAAACAAAAAATCAAAATCAAATCAACATTTCTTTGACAGTGTTAACAAGTTAAAACTATACTTTAAGCCTGACAAGAGTATTTGTCACAGGGCTTTTGTACTAGGCTGCATTGTACTGTCCACCTTCTTTAGTAAAGCACAGTCTGTCAGAGCAGAAGAACATCCCACTGTTTAAAGTGTGTTTAAAGTGTTTTCAGTCTTTTTTTAATAATTACCCCTCTGAGTATTAAGTGAGGTACTACTAAAGGAACTAATAAGATTACAGTTTGTTTGGTTTTTTTTGCTATGGTACTATTCACAAAAGTATGCAGTAATATTTAACCACTATTTCACAAAAGACACAACAGATCAAAAAAGACATTGGAATACAAAACACACATAGGAAGACATGCTTTACATTGAAATACATTATGTTCATAATGTAAAAACAGTGAGATTAACTAACAGATTACCTTTGGCACGTCAAAGAGTCTTTTGAAAAGCAGAAAATGTTGCTGACTTCAACTTTGGCTTGTGGGTTGGACAAAACATGCATGTGAAAATGTCACTTTGGGATTCATTTTCTGATATTTTATACCAGATAAGTGAAAAAAAGAATTGACAAATGAATCGATAATCAAAATAATAATTTGCTGCTGCCCTACTACCAATCAAGGTCTAATCAAGTAAATAAGTGAAAACACCTGTGTGGGTGAACCATGGGTTTAAGATTATTGTAAGCATTTACAAACATTTGCATTATCATCGAGCATACAATGCATCATTACTCAACTCCCTATTCGTTTTCTAAGGCAAACAGAGTTGTTGTTGAAAGGATGGAGTCCATCTCTATACAAAAAGTATGTGCTACCTCTCAAAAAGTAGCACCAGTTCACAATGAGGAGTATGTGGGAACATATCCACAGGCACAGCCAGAGTTGGAGCAAATGCCTCTCCTGTGAGTTTCTTCTGCGGGTCAGGAGCACAACAAAGTTCCCTGAAGTTCCTCATAGCCTCTCCATCCGGTTTACAAGACACATACACCAGCCTGCGGATAGCAGGATGATTTCGTAAAGCTCGGACCACTCTGTGGTGCAGGCCAGCTCGAGCAGGGTTCACGACAGCTGCCACGAGGCCTCCACCTGAGGAGCTCAGCTGAGACATAGGGCCAGGAAGCACCACCTCTGCCTTCCCATGGATAAACTCACAGTTCAGAACATTATTGAGAGCTGCGTTGTGTCTAGCATCTTCCACTGCCTGTTCTATGAGCTCTATACCAATAATTCTATCTACTCTGGGAGATATAATAATGCCAATGGCACCTGTCCCACAGCACACATCTAGCAGAGTACCACCAACTTTTGTCCTCCCTCTACCTTCCTCGTGGTTTGGTACGCACAGGTCTCTCACTGTGCCATACAGCACCTCAGCAGCTGCCTGGTTCACCTGGAAAAAGGCATCGGCAGAGATGCGGAACTTGAAGCCCTGCACCTGTGAATGATAAAACGTAGGGACAGCAATTAAAAAACAAACATTATGTACATGCATTTTGTGCTGCACACTCTTCTCTGTCTATTGCAATCAAAACTTCTATGCTTATAGGGACATCACCAAAATTAAATACAGATGTGAAAACAGCTGTATAGGCCTACTGGAATATACCACGAAATAATACTACTCATCTGTAACAGAAAGCCTGAATTACAGTGTGAGGAGAGATTATAGAGTTGCAATGCTGGAATGTTACAATGTGTGCTGTGTGAAGTCCCTTACAGATTCTCATTCTCATTTTTCCCTGATGGTGTATATTACCTCCTCATATATGTGAGGCTGACCATGCAGGAGCTGGTAGGGGGATTCCTCATGAGTGCAGCGAGTCATGGTGCTCTCCTGGAAAAAAAGTGAGTCCAGCTGACAGACAGATCCTGGCCCCCGCATGAAGTAACCTGTCAGCTCAGCCTTATGGACTGCCACCTCTTCTGGGGGGAGCGTCTGTGGATGAAAGTACACTATAGCCATGGTGCGGCCCTCTGCGTTGGTCCTCACTGTCACCTCTCTCCAGTGACCCCCAGTGTGGAACAGCAGGCAGGGCTCTAGGGGAGAGAGCCGGATGAAGTCCTGGTAGCACCTGGCTACCAGTTTGTGCTTCTCCGGCATGTTGAGCAGATGGTCTCCATTGACGCAGACGATGTTTCCCTTCTTGCCTGTGCCCACGTAAAATCCAACAGTTTTTGGATTTCCATCCACTCCTCTGTTGACAGAAAACGTGGATTTGTTGCGGTAGCCATCCCTCACTGGCGATGGCATTATAGGCAGAACAGGGAACCTGAGTTTACTTCTGACAGGTGACGAGTATTCTGATTGTAGGTCACCTGAAAGATACCCAGAGAGCTGACACAGTATCTTTTCCTGATGCTTTTGCTTGAGCTCAAGTTGCTCATCATAATTCAGCCTCCAGAGAGGGGTGACCACATCGGCCAGCCTTTCCTCCCAGGACAGATGATCAATCCAGGGAGATTTCTTTAGACGTTTTCTCCCCTGTTTCTCTGATGGTAGTCTCCCACCGTGGTCAGCTAGAATAGTGTCATTAGTTGAAATGAACAGACTGGTTTGCCGCAAAGTATGCAGAATCTTGCGTCTGACAAATATGACTGACCTGCAGCATGTAGCTGCCAAAACCATTTTGAATTTCGAAGAAGAGGTATTATGGCCGAGGGTGATGCTGGTGTTAGCTAGTATCGCGAAGAAGAAGCTCGGAGCTGAAGGTTCACTCACTTTGTTGAAAGGAGTCATTATTTTCTGAAGCTCATGCTGAAGGTTCAACTGTTGTGACGTGTTATTTACGTGCCAGATAGCTCCCAACGTCGTTTCCATGCGTCCCGGGGCAAGTAAACATTTCCGCTGTGTCGCGATGGACTCAAACAAGGACGAAGCAGATCGGTGCATTAAAATAGCCCTAATTGCGGTCAGCAACAACCAGCCGGACAAAGCCAGGAAGTTTCTGGAGAAAGCACAGCGCCTGTTTCCGACAGATCAGGCCAAAAGTACGTCGAATAAACGTCTGTTTCGGCCTTTATTTTATGTCAGATAGTGGGCCATCGCTGTGAACCCGAATCAGCTACCGTTACCGTTAGCATAGACGTCTTAAAGTTACACAAGCTGCTCCCAACTGACACTGGTATTTGTAGTTTTTTCAGCTCCCCCACCCGCTATTTCTGTTGAATATTTGGTTACTTAATGTCCGACATTGGCGCTTGCTTGTCCGCATTTACATCTTTAACGTCCTTGCTAGCAGCTAACGTTACAGTGCAGTGCTACCCGTTAGCTCACTATGCTAGTGAAATAACTAATTGGGGAAACATCCTCAGGTGGCAACCTTGAATAAAATGACACCACTTCTTTTGCAGACTTATTGGAGACGTTAGCGCAGAATGGTAAGCCGCCGGACGAGAATGGCGGTCCTGTGAACAGAGACGGACCCGCTATGAGGCACCGCAGCCACCGAGAGGAGGCTAATAATTCCGCACAGGGGGCCACAGACTCGGCCAAACCATACACTGCAGAGCAGCTGGATGCCGTCAGAAAGTCAGTACACATGTGGATCTTTTGTTTTAGTAATGTTATATTTTAGTGCTATAAAGGACACAGTGGAGCTGACTAAATTAAATATTATAGCACATTCAGTCTATCATGGGGTGGGGGATGTGGTCTAAAATAACCTTATCAGTGTGTGATGATCAAGCTCAGCTAGACCACTCAAATACATTCATTTTAGTCCTGGCTATAGTGAGAAAGATCATTTGTATTGCGATGATAAGGAAACCCCTATTCGAAAGCATTTAATGTTTTAGTTATGATTTTTGTTGAAGGTTTAGAGTCAGAAATACTTTAAAGCTGCACAGGTTGGCTGTAATAATTTCATACTTATAATATGGTTTGCTGATGCATTGATAAGTGTTTGTGTCTTTAATGTTAGCTGAATTAGGTACTTGATTTCACATTCATTACTCAGGGATGTATCTCTATGTTGTTTCCAGTGTGTTGTTTTTTGATTTTTTTACTGCAGGATTAAGAGCTGTAAAGATTATTACCAAATTCTGGGAGTTGAAAAGACAGCCTCTGAGGAGGATCTTAAAAAGGCTTACAGGAAACTGGCTCTGAAATTTCATCCAGATAAAAATCACGCACCTGGAGCCACAGAGGCATTTAAAGGTAAAATTAAAAGCAATCTCCTGTGGTGTTCTATGGAAGACATGCAAATGTAAGCATACTAAATGCAAATTTGTGTGTGGGGGGATTATGTGTCTTTCAGCTATTGGTAATGCCTATGCAGTGCTGAGTAACACTGAGAAACGAAGGCAGTATGACCAGTATGGAGAGGAGCGATCCAACCCAAGCAGACACAGGCACCATCGTGATTTTGAAGCGGACATCTCACCCGAGGACCTCTTCAACATGTTCTTTGGTGGCGGCTTCCCATCGAGTAAGTAGAAGGCAGATGAATTGAGGTTATTGTTGCAGTGCTATCAAGGCCCAAGAGTATTTTGGTTTTCATGTGTAAATGCCATGTAAACCATTTAAACCCTTCTTAAATATGGTCTGCATGACCTGTGACAATGGGACTATGCTGGCAGTATTGCTTGTTTTATGCCATTACCTACAAAAACTGTATACCTTACAACTGTAAAAGTTCCAGGGCATACCAAACATTTTTAGATTCCCTTTCTGCCTTTAAAACAGCAACAGCGCATAATACTGATATGGTATGGTAAACAATGTATTTACACATTTGTCTCCATGTAATGCATTTGCTAAGAGGGACTGCTTAGTGTGTCTGTCTGATGCCCTCATCTGATGCCTATTGTTCCTGTCTGCCGCCCTTATCAGCGGCCAGTCTCTGGTCACAGTCAGTGACATAAACCTGTCTTACCAGGTGTTCAGCCTTGAAGATTTCCTTATTTTTTTGACTCTGCCTTTTCTTTTCAGCATACACAAGCAAAATAAAGACAGTCTTTTATAGTGACATTATCTTATCATTGACATCTTACAAGCACGTGAAAAAACTTTGTATCAGATTCACAGTTGCATGAACATGGTTGGCTAGTTGCAATGCTTTCCCCTCTGTGATGTTTACTGGAGTGAAAATGCTCACTGCTTAGTAGTTAATTCCTTTCATTTCTTCTATAATTACTACATCCATTGAACTGCAGTGTATACACACTATTTGGAGTGAACAGGCTAAAACCAAAGGCTAAACAAATAACCAAAAAATGGAACTCTGCCTGTAAACAGGCTAAACAGTACCTAAATACTTACTTCTGTCGGGTGGAATATATGATTATTAGTGAAATCAGCTGTTGTAATTGATTGGGTTAAAACCTGCAAATTGTTGGGCCTTGATTTCACATGGCTTAGAGTCACAGCACTACTGAGTGCCCTGTAATCTTTCTTTATTATGTTTTTGGGTTCTTATCTAAGAAACTCTTTGAGGGAATTTCTTCAAATTTGAAAACATCTTCTTGGACTCAAGGAGAATTTGGTATTCAAGGTCACTGTGACCTCATGTCCGTCCCATTCTCGTCTCAGGAACATCTGGAACTAATTTCTTCAAATGTGGCACAAATGAACATGGTTGGCTAGTTGCAATGCTTTCCCCTCTGTGATGTTTACTGGAGTGAAAATGCTCACTGCTTAGTAGTTAATTCCTTTATCCTTTAATTACTACATCCATTGAACTGCAGTGTGTACACACTATTTGGAGTGAACAGGCTAAAACCAAAGGCAATATCCTGAAAATAAATCGGTCTAAACAAACTAAAGGACGATTTGTTGGTCAAAGTCATTGTGACCTCACAAAACACATTTTTGGCCTTAGCTCAAGAATTGATGACCATATTTTCCAGTTGGTCGGACAATAAATTGGTGTAGGGCTGGGACAATTCATCAACATAGAAAATGTAATCGATTACGAAAATACGTTTATTCGTATTACGTGCATCGAAGAGTCGCTGCAGATACAAGACCGTTATATATCAGCTGTGCACGTTTATAGGTGATAGATATTTATTAGTCCTTTTCGGAGATTCATAGTGTGTCATACAGCAAATATCAGACCAACAACCAGACAGCAGCTTTACAAACACAAGCATCACCCCAGTGCCATACAGGTTATAGGCTCGTGCAGACTTGTATATCTTGCCGTCATATGACGGCAGTCTTGAAGTCGTTGTGGCGTTCACACTACGTGATCCGTGAGAGGGATACACACACTACAGGGGCTGACAGCTGGTCTCCAAACCACGTTTTGCCAAGAAAACAAACATGAAATGTGAAACGGGAAATGAGCGATCCTGCACATGAAACAGCTTACTAGTTATTATAAAGATGGCAAGTATAAAGACAAAGAATCTGGGTGAAAGGACGGATTAGCACACGCAGGTAGCAGGGATTGTCTGAGCTACAGAGGGAGCTGCAGGTGAGTTAAAAGGTGCAGCTCCCCGACACCCAGTTAACTCATGACTCTGAGGTTACAACTCACGGCCCAAAAAGACAACAAACGCACGTGTGCACATTTTCAGCTGAGGTCTGTGGCTTACTTTGGCTAGCCTTAAACTCAACAATCAATCATGATTTCAGTTAAATGCTAATTTGCTGTTACTGTTACCTTGTCTGTGGTCCGCTGGCAGAACACAGGCTGCTTTTTGTTCAGGTGCTGTCGCCAAGGCAACATAAGTTTCGTTTTACGGTGGACGGACGGTAACATTACAGAGTTGTTGTTATTGTTGTTTTCTTTAGCTTGAAATAATCCCATACTTTGGACACTTTCTTCTTTGTCCCTTGCTATTTTCTCTCTCTTCCTCCACTTTGCAAACAGCTCCATTATAATCACGTCTTGTTCACAGCGTAAGCGCGATGTGCGACAGTAATAAATGTCCGTGCGAAACACTATGCTGTAAAGTTAAATGGATTAAACGAAGTAGCGATGCAAAGAATTTGTGTCAATGCATTTTATTAATCGATTTTATCGATTTAATTGTTATATTAATCGAGTAATAGGCTACATTTTTTTTCTTTAGAATACACACAAATTACTCGTTCAATCAATAGACTAATTGAAACAATAATTAGTAGATTAATTTATTTGAAAAATAATCGTTATGTGCAACACTAAATTGGTGACACTTTTGACTCGAAGGTCGAAGTCACTGTGACCTCAAAAATAATCTTGACAAACAACTCAAGAATAGATGCGGTATTTATGATAAAATCTCACACAGATGTTTTACGGGATACAAGAATGATACAAT